GCTCCTTCGATTCTCATCGCGAGCATTCCGTGGAAAAACTTCTCGGCACCGAGCTTGCCCAGCTCGAAAAGGAAAACAATAAGAAGTGCACGGATATCCTTGGAGGTCTGCATGGAAACCTGAAATATATCCATACTACCATTGATGATGCCGTGGGCAAGGTGATGAGTGCCGGAAAGGATCGTCTCTCCAAGGTCCCTAAATGCGGAAAGCACGAGGATGCTCAAAAAATCGTCACGAAGGTGGACAAGGCGACCGTCGAATTTGAGAAGCACTGTGAAGAATACATTCCCGTCGCTCGCAACTTGGCCACTCGACTGACCGAGCTCGGCGAGAAATTGGCCAACGATGAGGAATAGATATTTTGATGAACTTTATTGCGATATTGATATGCTGCTTGTGATTTAAACTGTGCCATGCTGGATAAAATTTTATTGAGCTTCATATGAGTTTATTTCAGTAAACTGGTTATAATGCCACAATGAATTTTTCTTATTGCTTTGCGGTCAAGCATTGTTGATCGTGATTACAGGTACCCTATTCAGGCGTTGATCATAACGGAGACTGGTTCTTCATCTAAAGTTAGCTAAAATGGGCTAATGAATTCTTGCGAAATTTGGCCCTGTCGATGCTTTTCAGTTTATAACAGCTTAATCAATTGAAATTTCGGCAAAACCTGGCTGGCTTCTTGTCCAAGGCGCGTTTTAGGTTTTCGGTATCTTTCTCTACCAGCCGATTACAGCCGCTTCGCGACTGCAATCGGCTGGACTTCGGGCCACCCTCCATATTCTACACCACCACATTTAATCCCTACCTTACGCTGATGCCTTCATGGCAATAACTACACTGATGGCTTCAGATACCTCCTCTAGCCAACCCCCCACAAAAACATAGCTACCTTCCCGATGGCTTCAGATACCCCTCCGGGTCGAAATTCCGTTAAAAATCTACCAAAATACCTCCCTGATGGCTTCAGATATCCCCCATGGCTGAAATCCCCTTCAAAAACTACTTAGATACCTCCCTGATGGCTTCAGATACCCCCCATGGCTGAAATCCCTTCAAAAACTACCTAAATCCCTTCCCGATGGCTTCAGATACCCCCATGGCTGAAATCCCTTCAAAAACTACCTAAATCCCTCCTGATGGCTTCAGATACCCCCATGGCTGAAATCCCCTTCAAAAACTACCTAAATCCCTTCCCGATGGCTTCAGATACCCCCCATGGCTGAAATCCCCTTCAAAAACTACCTAAATCCCTTCCCGATGGCTTCAGATACCCCCATGGCTGAAATCCCTTCAAAAACTACCTAAATACCTTCCTGATGGCTTCAGATACCCCCCATGGCTGAAATCCCCTTCAAAAACTACCTCAATACCTTCCTGATGGCTTTAGATACTTTAAATAATTTAAATAATTAATTAACATAATTAAAAAGTATTAAAAGTATTAAAGTAACTCAAAAAGGCATCTGGGCGCGCGAAGGGGCCTGGGGAAGAGGGGCGAAGAGAAAGGGGGCGTGGCCTCCCGGGGAGAGGGGCCCCCACTCGTTTTATTAAGGCGCCACTTTCAAAGTTAATTTTAATAATTTAAACAAAAACTTTTTCGTAATTTTTTTATCAGTTTGGGGGTTTCTGACCACGCTCTATCCGAATCCGAAGAGACCTAAGCTCTAGCTCCTTTCCCCTTCGAGTTGAATCCGGGACACGACGGACAGACAGACAGACGGACGCCTCTACTTTTTTATTATAGTTGATATCTTTTATCCCCCTCGCGTTTTAGCGCATTTATGAGTTTTTGGCCAGCTGTTTTATTTCCCTTCCCTTTGATTTCATTTCGAGGTAATGAACTCTCTATTTAGGTGGTTGACGATGCTGACGCAACTCTTCAACTGCCCGAAGTGCAAGCTTCCGTTCGACTGCGAGACGAACGGACCGAGAAGGCCAGTCTACTATCCGAGTGTCCCGCCCTCTTTCTGGTGCCGGACGTGCCACCAAGGCAATGCGGTGCAGCGTGGATTGATGGAGTTTCTTGCCCAGCCCGCGTTCAAGAAGGTCAACAATGGATACGAATGCAACTCCCCTATCATTGAGCCAACATGCCTGGGATGCCAAGAGAACATCAAGATCTTCCAGGGATGCTCCGCTGTTGTGGGCGCATGCGGGCATTATCTGTGTCAGGATTGCGATCTGAAACGCAGGGCTCTTACCAATTTTCCTTGTGCAAAATGCGCAACTCAGAGTCACTCATCGAGCCAATGTCTTGCCGACAGCTTGCTGGCCCCATTCGCATCCAAATTCAACATGGACCAAATCCAAGGCTTGACCCAGCGTTTCAGCACGATGGAGAAAGAGTTTGCAGACTCCAAGGCACGGCTCGTAGCGGCTGAGGCAAAGAAGGAGACGGATCGAAAGAACGGAGCCCTGCAGGAATGCGGAGATTGTGGGATCGAGCAACCCGTGGAACGTCTCTTGAAATGCCAAGATTGTAAGACGATTCTTTGCGGCGTCTGTTCGTTCGCTTCTCATCGCGAACATTCCGTGAAAAAGCTGCTGGGCATCGCACTCGTCGCAATGGAGAAACAAAACGAAAAAAAGTACAAGGAAACGCTAAAGGGACTACATGGAAATCTAAGATACATCCAATCGACGATCGACGAGGCCGTGGAGAAGGTGCTGATCGCTGGAAATGATTGCCTGGCCGACGTCTCTAAGTCTACTAAATATGACGACGCGATCGGCATCGTTGCCAGGGTGGATAAGGCGGCCATCAAGTTCGAGCAGCACTGTGAAGTCTATATTCCGGTTGCCCGTGAATTGGCTACGCGGTTGACGAAGCTCGGCGAGGAGATCGCGAAGAAAAAGGAATAGACTACTATTTATGCAAGCGAATTTTTATTTTGGTGCACCATTACCGCGATACATGTGAATTCCGCGGCTTTTTTTTGCTGAATAAAGTGTATGCAGCCTCAAAACGACTTGGGTCTTTGCAATTTGGCTTGATGCCATGTGGATTTTTGGTCTATTGAAACGCGCAGGTTAATACTTATTTTTAGGTAATGTCTAGCTTTTTTTGAAGAATTGGTCCGCTCAAGTCATATTAGTCATTTTTTTACAGTCTCTGACGTTTTGGAGTATCCAGCTAGCGTTTCGCAGTTTCGCTAATCCTTTTTTCCACGCGCGCTTCATTATTTTCCGTTAGATAGGGGTTGCCATGGCCAATCGGGGCGGGACGGGGGCTAAACGACGCGCCTGAATAAAAGAAACTAATAATTTGAAAAAAGCAACTCTTTTTTTGTATTTTTTATACAAATTTGTAGTTTTCAAGTTTAGGAATGGTAAAAAATTCTATTAGAAACACTTACACTTTTATTTTTGACAAATTAGACCCTGAGAAAAAGTTCCCCTATTAATGCGAAAGAACCGGCATCTCTTTTCTTTTTACAATCTTTTCGTTTGCAACAATTTCAAATCTTAATTTCAGGTGATCGACGATGTTCACGGACCTCTTCAACTGCCCCTATTGCCATAAGCCGTTTGATTTCAATGAGGGCGATCCCTACGTGCCCATCTTCCATCCAATCTTCAAGATTATACGGTGTCGAACTTGCGTCGCGGACCAAGCTTCCGAGCCGCTGCGAGGACTGATGGACTTCCTCAATCAACCGGCTTTTGAGAAGATGGTCACGGGATACGAATACACTCTGCCCATCAACGATCCCGTATGCTACGGATGCCAGAAGAAAATCAGTGTATTCGAAGGAAGTAGCGCTTTCTCTACTGCATGCGGGCATTATCTTTGCCAGAGCTGTAACTACTATTGTCGTACGGGTTACGCAAACAACACTTGTAAGAACTGCAATATCGAGAAGTCGGAAGTTTATCTTCCCGCAGACAGCGTCATCGCCAGATTTTCGTCATTGATCAAACTGGGCCGCATTAAAGAATTTTCCGGAACTGTCGAATCCCTAGCAAAGTTCGATGCGATTGAAGCAAAGAAGGAGGAAGATAGAAAAAGCGGGGCCCTCAAAGAATGCAAAGATTGTGGGATCGAGCAACCCGTCGAACGTCTCTTGAAATGTCAAGATTGTAAGATGGTTCTCTGCGGCATCTGCTCGTTCGCTTCTCATCGCGAACATTCCGTGGAGAAGCTTCTCGGCATCGCACTCGGCGAAATGGAACAACAAAACGGAAAGAGGTACACGGAAACTCTGCAGGGACTTCATGGAAATCTAAAGTATATCCAAACGACGATCGACGAAGCCGTGGAGAAGGTGTTGACCGCCGGAAATGATTGCCTGGCAAACATCTCCAAGCGTTCGAAATATAACGACGCGGTCGCCATCGTTTTGAATATGAACAAGGCGGCCGTCAAGTTTGAGCAGCACTGCGAAGTCTATATTCCGGTTGCCCGTGAATTGGCTACGCGATTGACGGAGCTCGGTGAGGAGATCGCGAAGCAAAAGGAATAGACTACTATTTATATAAGCGAATTTTTATTTTGGTGCACCATTACCGCGTTGCATGTGAATTCCGCAGCTTTTTTGCTGAATAAAGTGTACGCAGCCTCAAAACGACTTCAAGCTTTGCAATTTGGCTTGAAGCCATGTGGATTTTTGGTCTATTGAAAGGCGCAAATTAGAGAAATCTATATTTTTAGGTTAGGTCTAGATTTTTGATGAATTGGCACGCTCGGGTCATATTAATCACAATATTTTACAGTTCAGGAAATTTTGTGGTATCCAAATAGCGTTTCGCAGTTTCGCTAATCCTTTTTTTTTCATGCGCGCTTCATTATTTTGGGTTGCACGGGGGTTGCCATGGCCAATCGGGGCGGGACTGGGGGCTAAACGACGCGCCTCGCTTCGCTTATGCGATGTAAAAAATGGGTGAAGCTTTGAGTTAGATGGCGTAATCGAATCGGCGTTCGTTGTTTTCCATTCATTCAAGTTATTCTGGAGATTTCTAGTCGAATAAAGCCAAATTTTTTTGTTTAGAGGATGGATAGCCACGGGTTCATATCGAGGAGACAGCCGCCGCCACCACAAGTATGTTTTTATTTATTAGAAGCGTCTTTTTAGGCTTTCTTTATTTAAATATGTGTTTTTTAGACCCCGGCACATGAGAAGCGGAAATGGGCCGTACTGAAGATGGGCCACGTGACGCCACTCCTTCGCGATAGTGACCAATTAATGTAATTTTCCTGATTTGAAGCGGAAACTTCCCTAAATTCAGGATCTTCGTCCGGAAACTCCATCAACTTCTCCAAGAGCAACAAATGAGCCTGGAGGACACGTTGGCCTGGACCCTCTTCGATCCGCCCGATCTGCCCGTCGTCAAGCGGCAAATAGAGGAGATGATCGGCGACGCGAGGGCCCTCAACCAATCCAAATTGCCCATTCTCGTCTACATTGATGATAGTTGTTCGTTTTTTAAACTAGCTATTTTGACGCTGCTAATCTTACTGTTTTTAGTGGCTTCCGTGATCTACGAAGACATTGAAGGCCAGTTCAGCGAGTTCCTCTACATTGTCCGCCTCGAGCCCGAAGAGGTCCGCCATCCCATAGCCACCAGCGATTACGCGGAGATCAAGTACAAAATTTTGGGACTTGCTCAATTTTTTCTTTCAGGAATATCTGCGTCGAATTTCGGGCCTGTATTGCGCCACTCGAAGTGAATCGGCCGGCCGCCGCCGCGCCGCCGTTGAGGTGATAAACGGGAATTCTTTCGAAAAAAATGGTTTAGAAATCTTGCTCCCGTCGTGCAACCCGCCCCTCCGCCTCCCCAACGAGTCGTCGAAGCGCCAAGGTATCGTTAAAATTTTTAGTTTTAAGTTCAATTAAAACGAATTTTTGCTCTCACCGAAAAGTTAACAGGGGAAACGGCTTAGTTTTTCGGTGAGACGAAAATTCGGTTAGGTGTAATTCGGTGAAATGGCATTCGGCCAGGCCAAACCATGTTTTAGAAATTACACTCCCGTTGTTCAACCCGCCCCACCGCCTTCCCAGCGAGTTGTCGAAGCGCCAAGGTATCGTTTTGAAAGGCTAATACGAGCTTAGCACCAAAAAAAATCGTCTTTGTCAATGTAAACCGGAGCAATTTTGCATTTTTAGAAATCTGCCGGCTCGACCTCTCGGCCCCCCGCCAGGCATCCGGATGGCTCCACCAATGGAAAGGTGAGAGCCAGAATAATTTCCTTATGATGGGATTTTTTAGAAATATTCCTCAACCCATGCGTCCCACTCCTCTACCACCGGCTCCCCGACCTGACCCATACGCCAGGCCGATGATGCCAAGGTTGGATTTCCCTTTTGAATCCCATTTTCCTGTTTCCAGCTCGTCCGCCTACGCCCCGGAAACGCGCAACATCCTTGGAGAGGCCATCAGCCGAATCACATTGCCAAGGCCCGAACCCCCACGCCCGCAACATCGTCCATATTCACCTCCCAGGAGAGCCGCCGGTAATTTTTCCGTGATTTTTTTAGTTTCGTTTTTTTAGACCGTGACGATACCGGCCCCCAACTGGTGGATACGCCCCCCAATGAGGAAGAGCCAATACCGTACCCGAGCAGAAGCCGCCCACACCAGCCGCCACCTCCCAGAAATCTCCCCAAATATGAATATGGCTTTGATGACGCGCCGAGGCCGCAGAATAACGGTAGGAATTGCGACTTGACGTTGGAGCTGAAAATTCCAGGGTACTATCGCCAAGAAGCGGAACCGATGCGCTATCCGTCGAATGGCTACAGACTCGTCGACAGCCCGCCTCGGCCGAGCCATGTTCCCCAGAACAATCCGGCATCTTCGTCGAAAGATGGTAAATCTTTGAAGAGTTTTTGATGGGTAACCGGGAGGCGTTTTGTGGTGCGCACAGAGTTTCGATACCGAAGGAAGGCTATCTTGTGCAGATTTTTTGCGGATTAGCTTTAAGCTTTAGAAAGTTTAAGACTTTGGAGCTCTATCAACATCGTAAAAGGCGTGGTTGACTGAGCAAAACCGCTTCTTAGTTCTGCCGATTTTTCAAAGGTCCAAAATAGTCCATTTTTCCGGGTTTTTTTTCGCACTTGGCCTCACAACTATTTTAGCGGTTTCGCAGATTCTACAAAGTACGTTTTAATAGGCAAAGAATTCTGCACAAGCTATGGTTGGTCCGGTCTCGAAACTCCGTTCCCGCCAAAAAACGTCTTGTAAGAGTGTTTTAATCCTTTTTTTCCTCATTACTGATTCCAGTTTTAGACGCGAAAGTGAACCCAGTGCTTATTCAAACCAATGACGACAGCAGCGAGTCGGCTTATGGTAATAATTTCCTCTCTTTACAATTCATGAGCGCATTTATTTCCAGCCACTCCACCATCAATGCCCCCGCCCGGATTGTCGATGGAAGCCGAGCCCAGCTATCCCCCAATTCCCGTGGATGATGTTGAGGCGGCGCTTGACAACTTTAAAACTGGCGACCTGGATGCGGAATATTTTGTGAGGATTTTTAGCGTCTCTTGAAAACCCTTTCCATTTCAGGTGGACGAGCTGTACCAGCACCTCGGCGTCTACAACCGGCTCCACGAACCGTTCGACAACCTGCGCGACAACATCCTATTCATCAAGCTCATCCGGTTGTCCTGCCAAAAAGCAGCCGTTGACGTGCGAAAAGAGGGCACCGCCATCCTGGAGGCGGCCGTCGGCTCGGGATTCGTCGAATCGGTGCTCGTCGCCCATTTCGAGCCCGTCGTCGAGAGTGGCGAGCTTCAGGTATGCATCGCTTGCCTATTCCATTATATTTCGAAAAATAGCCCCCGAATCATGCAACGTGCCTGGAGGTGCTGCTGGACTTCTTCGACACGGTCTCCGATTACGAGATCGACAACGAGACATGGGTTCGATTTTGCAGTTTACTGCGGATTTTCGTGATTCCAGCACGAACTCTTCACTCGGCTCCACCAATTCTCCTGCGAAGTCTCCACGGAGGTGAAGCGCTGTATGCGCGTCGACCCGGATGTCGTTTTCGCCAGAATCTATGTAGGTTTAACTGTTTTGTTAAAGAAAAACGGGGGTGTCCGCATTTTTCTAACAGGGAAAGATTTCCGTGCGTGCCACGTACTAGCAATTATTTGAAAGCATTTTATTATAGTTGACTTCGAATCAACTATAATAATTTTGCTGTGGTCTCCGTCCGTCCGTCCGTCTGAAGCCGAATTCAACTCAAAGGGGAAAGGAGCTAGAGCTTAGCTCTCTTCGGATTCGGATAGAGCGTGGTCAGAAACCCCCAAACTGATAAAAAAATTATGAAAAAGTTTTTGTTTAAATTATTAAAATTAACTTTGAAAGTGGCGCCTTAATAAAACAGTGGGGCCCCTCTCCCCGGGAGGCCACGCCCCTTTCTCTTCGCCCCCTCTTCCCCAGGCCCCTTCCAGATGCCTTTTTGGTTACTTTAATACTTTTAATACTTTTTAATTATGTTAATTAATTATTTAAATTATTTAAAGTATCTAAAGCCATCAGGAAGGTATTGAGGTAGTTTTTGAAGGGTTTCAGCCATGGGGGTATCTGAAGCCATCGGGAAGGGATTTAGGTAGTTTTTGAAGGGGATTTCAGCCATGGGGGTATCTGAAGCCATCAGGGAGGTATCTAAGTAGTTTTTGAAGGGGATTTCAGCCATGGGGGTATCTGAGCCATCAGGGAGGTATTTAGGTAGTTTTTGAAGGGGATTTCAGCCATGGGGGTATCTGAAGCCATCGGGAAGGGATTTAGGTAGTTTTTGAAGGGATTTCAGCCATGGGGGTATCTGAAGCCATCAGGGAGGTATCTAAGTAGTTTTTGAAGGGGTTTCAGCCATGGGGGTATCTGAAGCCATCAGGAAGGTATTTAGGTAGTTTTTGAAGGGGTTTCAGCCATGGGGGTATCTGGCCATCAGGGAGGTATTTAGGTAGTTTTTGAAGGGTTTCAGCCATGGGGGTATCTGAAGCCATCAGGAAGGTATTTAGGTAGTTTTTGAAGGGATTTCAGCCATGGGGGGTATCTGAGCCATCAGGGAGGTATTTAGGTAGTTTTTGAAGGGATTTCAGCCATGGGGGTATCTGAAGCCATCAGGAAGGTATTTAGGTAGTTTTTGAAGGGGTTTCAGCCATGGGGGTATCTGAAGCCATCAGGAAGGTATTTAGGTAGTTTTTGAAGGGGGTTTCAGCCATGGGGGTATCTGAAGCCATCAGGAAGGTATTTAGGTAGTTTTTGAAGGGGATTTCAGCCATGGGGGTATCTGAAGCCATCGGGAAGGGTTTAGGTAGTTTTTGAAGGGTTTCAGCCATGGGGGGTATCTGAAGCCATCAGGGAGGTATCTAAGTAGTTTTTGAAGGGTTTCAGCCTGGGGGGTATCTGAAGCCATCGGGAAGGGATTTAGGTAGTTTTTGAAGGGGATTTCAGCCATGGGGGTATCTGGCCATCAGGGAGGTATTTAGGTAGTTTTTGAAGGGGTTTCAGCCATGGGGGATCTGAAGCCATCAGGGAGGTATCTAAGTAGTTTTTGAAGGGGATTTCAGCCATGGGGGTATCTGAAGCCATCAGGAAGGTATTTAGGTAGTTTTTGAAGGGTTTCAGCCATGGGGGTATCTGAAGCCATCAGGAAGGTATTTAGGTAGTTTTTGAAGGGATTTCAGCCATGGGGGTATCTGAAGCCATCAGGAAGGTATTTAGGTAGTTTTTGAAGGGTTTCAGCCATGGGGGTATCTGGCCATCAGGAAGGTATTTAGGTAGTTTTTGAGGGGTTTCAGCCATGGGGGTATCTGAAGCCATCGGGAAGGGATTTAGGTAGTTTTTGAAGGGGTTTCAGCCATGGGGGTATCTGAGCCATCAGGAAGGTATTTGGTAGTTTTTGAAGGGGATTTCAGCCATGGGGGGGTATCTGAAGCCATCAGGAAGGTATTTAGGTAGTTTTTGAAGGGGTTTCAGCCATGGGGGTATCTGAAGCCATCGGGAAGGGATTTAGGTAGTTTTTGAAGGGGATTTCAGCCATGGGGGTATCTGAAGCCATCAGGGGGGTATTTTGGTAGATTTTTACGGATTTCGACCCGGAGGGGTATCTGAGCCATCGGGAGGTGCTTGTTTTTGTGGGGGGTTGGCTAGAGGAGGTATCTGAAGCCATCAGTGTAGTTATTGCCATGAAGGCATCAGCGTAAGGTAGGGATTAAATGTGGTGGTGTAGAATATGGAGGGTGGCCCGAAGTCCAGCCGATTGCAGTCGCGAAGCGGCTGTAATCGGCTGGTTTTATTATAGTTGACTTCGAATTAATTCGAAAACTGTTTAAAAAGCTGAAATCTTGGTGAAAAATATTTTTCATAAGTTTTCATCGAATTTCTAAACGTCCTACGTTTAGGAATAGCAAAAAAGGATATAAAAACTCTCCTTATTTGTATAAAATTGGATGCTATTGTAAAACAACGACTAAAATCCAAAAATTCTGATTTAGGAACGTTCCTACCGCGACTTCGAGGGCGACCAGGGCCACCACTTCCTACTCGACGGCCATTTCCGTCAGTTTTAAATTGTTTTGTTTCTATCTTGTTATGTTTGTAATAATAAAGTGTTTATTCCTATTTTCTCTGTGTTTTCCTAGTCCTAAAATCCTGGCTTTAGGTTCTGGGCCGAGCCGTTCGCTGCGAAGCGGCTTCGTGCTGCCCACGTGCAAGGAGGGTCCGCCGCCTACTCTGGACGCGGTAAGTATTAGAAATGTCAACAAAACTCTTCCGCTTCCAGGACCCGAATTCGAATACGGCTGCCCTGTACCTAGAGTGCGAGCGCACCGAGCCGCCCAACGATTTCCGGACGTTGGCCAGTGAGATTGCCATCGAAGATGTCCAAAATCCTGGCAAGAAAATAAATTGTAACGCAAAACGAATATTTTTCAGTGAAACCGTACGTTCGGCGGATGAAGGTGAAGCAGCCGTTCGCCGACTCCGAAGAATATCTGGATACGGTGTTCCGGTTGCTGCGCGAGGATCTCGTGTCGGCGCTCCGGGATGGCATAGCTATCTGGAAAGGGCACAGTGGGTTCAGAAATCTAGCAAAATTTCCAAAAAACGTTTTTTATGTTGTTCGCTTCGTCAACTTTGTTTTTGCCTACCTGGGAATTGTTTTTGGAAAAGGTTTTTTAAAAGGGTGAAAAAGAATCTAGTGAAAATGAACCAAAATGATTGAAAAACTGCGAAAAAGAAGGGCTTTTTACACCGAAAAATTAAAATAAAATAACGAAGAATAAATTAGCCCAATTTTTTAGATTATCAAATGGGCAAAGACGCGCACGGGCTGACGGCGGATCTTTTCTTGGTGCAGGATGTTCGGGTGAGGGGCGTACAGGTGAAGAGCGGCGTCGGTGTCCCGATGCGAATGCTGGAGATCCCGGTAATTTACCTTTTTAGGGCGTTAAGCCATGTTTTTTTTAGCAAACGCTGGTCCAGCAAGTAATCGACAGCCGTCGTCTCTCCTTCGGCCAAATGGTGGCGCTGTCAATGGACGGCTTCCAGGAGGACTGTCTTCTCGGTGTTATTGTTGAACGCGATGACGATTTATTGGTGTGTTTGAAAAGCGGTTATCGGGAATTAGCAAAAAAATTGATTGAGGTTTCGAGGTATAGAAACGTTATTGGAAAATTTTAAAATAGGAAAGGTCGTGATTTTTTTGCAAAATGGTAAGAGTTACGGGAAATTTCTCAGGACAAACTTTGTAAACTTCTAATTTACAATTTTTCAAACTTGTATTTGTCGGAAAATGCTGAAAACGCGGGGGTAAATACACTGGTCTTTGTTATTGGGCGTTTAAAATTATTTAAAAACCAGCGCCCAAAACCCGCTTCGCGGGCCTTGGGCGCTGGAATTTGGGCCTTTGCATGAAAAATTTGACTTTCCGATAGCTCGGGTCCTTCGGACCCCTTCCCCCACCGTCCACACACGCGCGGGCAAATTGCAAGAATGAGGAAATTTGTATTTTTTTCATTTTATGCAAATTACCCCCAAAAATGAATAAAACCGGCTTTAACTTTGTAAACTTGTATTTTATCGAAATTCTGAAAACGTCATCGGAAAGAGGAGGGTCGGTTCTCTCGAGTGACAAAAAATCAGCGCATTTTGGACACGGGAAGGCCCTCAAATCGGGCCTCGAAAGTGACATCCACACACACACACAGAGATACACTCCAAAATTATATAAGGTAGGATTGATTTTGGCCCCAAGTAATTTTTGAAAAGCGGCTGGGCGGCTTTCTAAAATTGTTTATGTAATAAGTTCAATAAAACTAACTAAAGCCCTATTTTAGATTGCGCGGCGATGCATCGGTGTCGCGCTGGTGGCTGAACGTGACGGTGGTGTGGGCAGCGTTCGCGTCAAAATGGACACGGCCTATCATATGGTGGAGAGCAGCGCCTTCCTCGAGATGTACTCCCCAGTGTTGGCCACGATTAAGGTATCATTTTGCAGTCAATATCACTGAAACACCCCATTTTTCAGGGCCTCAACCGCTTCCTCCCTATCCCATTCGAGCGCTATATTGTCCATGGAAAGACGAACGTGCTGCCCCCGTATTATATGCGCTCAACCACCCCATCAGAAATTACGGAGGAAATCGCGAAATTGGAGGTGAAAATGTCGATGGTTTTTTCCAACTTTTTGAAGATGACCTACATGCGGAAGCGGCTGCAGAAAAAGGCCGAATATCTGAAGTGGCACCAGGATCTGGCGGCTGAACGGGATGCTCAGGCGGCGACGGAAGCACCATCACCGCCTGAAGACGGATTTCAGGATAAGAAGACGAAAAAGAAGCAGAAGAAGAAGGTTCGAATTTTTTCTATAGCTGTGATATTGGCCGAGAAAGGATAGAAAGTGTTTTATATAGTTTTTACTAATTTAGGACGGAGTTTGAACCAGAAAAACTGTCAAAAAGGCTAGAAAAATCTGTCGAAAGAACCATTTCTCTTTTTCAGACACCTTCTCCAGCGCCGGAAGACGAAGAAGCCGGCCTGGGATACAAGGGCGACAGCCCGGAGATGGCCCAGCTGATCCGCGAAATCACCGACGCTGAGAATTACGCCCCGCGACCTCTTGGCGCCACATCTGAAGCGCAGAGGGGCAAGGTCAAGCTCCACGGCCGAGAATATGAGATGTCCGAGGTCGAGCGGCTATTTGATCGTGGGTTTTTATTTTTCAGTTCTTAAAAAATTGTCTCTGTTCAAATTAATGTATTTTTCAGCCGGAAACGAGATCATGGACCATTCGCAGAAGGAATCACTCCTGAAAGCCCTCCGCAACGAGTTCGCGCTGATACAAGGCCCGCCCGGCACCGGAAAAACGTTCCTGGGCGTTGAGGTGGTGGCGGCGATGTTGGAGAATCGACAGCGATGGTGTATCATAGAGCCGATCCTCATCGTCTGCTACACGAATCAGGCCCTCGATCAATTCCTGGAGAAGATACACGATCGCATTATGGTCCGTTCTCCCATTCTGCTTTAATTTTTCTGTTTAGAAGGAGATTGCGCAAAATCGGATCAAACACGATTTGCCAACGGTCGTGCGGTTGGGATCTCGGTGCGATAGTGTCTACATCAAGGAGTACGTGCTTTGAGAGCTTTTGCATTATCGGGGGACCACGTCTTTTTTGGTCCTTGAAGTCCAGAATGGCTAATGACTTAATCGTAAATTTTTTATAGTGTTTTTAGTATATTTCGAGCTTAAAAAATTCTACAGATTTTTAAATTGTGAACAAGGGGCTTTTTTGGTCGCAAAATCGTTATTTTTTTTGTTATTTTTAATCAAAATTTGTCAGTTTTTTCGTTTGGAACAGTAACAAACAGTTTAAAAACACGGTTTTAATAACTGGAATTTTACCGGCACCTTTCCGCTAGCAAATCCGAAATCGCAGATCCCACAAGCTGACGAAACGCGACGTCTGCGAGGCGTTCCGTGACCATGTCCCGCCCACCAAGATCAACAGGGGCTCGATTTACTACGACTTTCAACTGGCCGAACGGACACTCGGAGGCGCCGTCGCCATCCTCAGATTCGGCAAGACGAAGCTGATTGGCGGAAAGCATACTCGCTCGGTAGGGAGATGGTTCCAGTCACATTCAGCTCCTTTTCTAGGTGATGTCCCTGCTGCATTGCACTCAATTCGACCGCGAATACGGTCTCTATCTTGACTCGAAAAATCGGCCAATGTCGATCGATGAGAAGCTGGTGGCGTGGCTGCTGAATCGACAATTCGCCAGGGATCCGCTGAAGCTGCCCGGAAGTGGCTCGAATTCGGAGGAGGAGGGCGAGAGCGTTGCGCAAGCAGGACGCAAGAAAAAGAAGAATAATGGGACTGAGGAGAAGCTGGCTGATGCGCTACAGCAGTTGGACATTGAGAAAGAGGTAGGGGGTCTAACAATCTATTTTTAGCTTATTTAAATTTTATATCTTTATCATCAACTTAATTTGGCTAAAAAATGGGTTTCTGCATGGATTTGGAAGCTTCAAATTTTATTTTAATTTGTTGCTTATTTTCAACATGTTTTTAATTATTAAATTATTATCCTACTATATATAAAAAAATAGTTCCCGTGTGTGTGTGTGTGTGTGTGCATTTGAATGCAACTTCCGTCACCGTGTCCGGAGGATATCTCAAAAGGGGAAGGGCGTTAGACTACGTATGATACGCCATTAGGTACGTGACGCCCCCGAGATGACTGCACGCATATCAAATTTTGCAAATTAGGCTATTTTCGACATTAAAATTAATTTTTGGTGAAAAATCCGGCAGCCTTCTTTGTTAGGAAATAATTAGCATACGCCGGAAGTTGCGGAAGCCTATATGTAACGTGAGAGAGTGGAATTCCTCATTTTTCCCCCATAGGAATTCGAGAGACGTATGCAGAGTGAAGAATTTCATCAAGTTAGACGGGGTCAGGGTTGAAAAGTCGCGAAGCGGCTTTTCAACCCTGGTTTAAATCTAATTTTATTAAATTGTAGAATTGGGTTCTTTAGGATTCCGGGGGAGTATTCCCGGGGAAACAAATTTTTTCGGCACAAGCCTAGATTTTTTTATAAATTGCGGATGCGTTTCTAAATTGTTTTTAACTATTCCTGAGCATAAAAACTACACACATTTTAACCAAAAAAATTTAAAAAATCAAAAGTATGTCGAACAATCCTATAGAACCTTTAGGATTCGCGGGGGGGAAAGACCCAAAATGACCAAATTTTCGACTTTTCAAACATTTTCTAAATTTTTCTGAAAGTTATTCTCTTTAAATATAATTAAAACTTACTAAAACAATATGAAATCACTTTGTATTCGATTACTAGGTCAACCGGGACCACCAGGAAAATTGGTTTCCCCGGGAATCCTAAAGAACCTGGAATTGAAATAGCTGCTTTTTTAGGGAAAAGAAGAGGACGCCGTAAAGCAGCTGGCCCTCGAAGGAGAAGAAACGTACGAAGTGCTCGAGGATTGGTATATGGGCCGCGATCCGGTGGCTGAAGCGGACAGTCACCTCAAATCGGTAGGTGCCTCTGAATTTTTGATTGTCAATATCTTTTAGGTGTTGCTCTTCGGAAGGCCGAACGAGGGAAAAAGCGGCCAATTGCAAGGCGCACGCTCGAAATCGCTGCTCAAAAATACGCAGGTATTTGCTGGGGAATTTTTTAGAAAATTGACAATATTTGATGAAATTAGTGTTTTATGAAGTAAAAACTAAAAATATTGAATTCAATTGGTGTTTTGTAAATTTAAAATTGCTACTTTTAGGATCCGGTTGTGATAGCGGCGATGGAAGAAGTAGAGGAGCTCGTGCTCGGGGTAGAGCCGTTGAAGGCGGAAGAAGCCGATGCCATTATGGTAATTTTCTTTTTCTAAAGTCTTGATCATTAATTAATTTTAACATTTATGAATTGTATTTCAGAACATTGTTACCCTGCCGAAGAAGCGCCGTTGGCAACTGTACGCCTACTGGCGCCACAAGCTCGTCGAGGAGACCAGGGCCCAGATGCCGAGGCTGATGGCCACCTACCGCGCCGCGTGCAACGCCAAAAAGGAGTTGATGATCAAGGAGGACGCCAATATTCTCAAGCACTCATTGGTGAGCTTTTCGACTTGCTTTTTTGAATTTTGTTTGAGTTGTAGATTATTGGGGCGACGACTACCGGCGCGGCGAAGAATCGGGATCTGTTGACCCGGTTGAACTGTCGACAGCTTGTCGTTGAAGAGGCGGCCGAAGTTCTTGAAGCCCACGTCCTCACCTCATTTCTGCCTTCCCTTGAGCATGTCGTGCTCATTGGTGATCATCAACAGCTGAAGCCCAGCTCGTGTGAGTCGGCTTTTTATGCAGTGGATTTTTCCGTTTTTTTTTTGCAAAATAGAAATCTGAAAAAAGAAATAGAAATAGAAAAAAGAGATCGCCGCTAGAAAAAATTTCTTTCGATCTAATTTTGCTATTAGGAATAGGATAAGGCTTTTCTACACTGTTTTTATTGTTTTAAAAGTTTTATTAGAAAAACTACATAGATTTTATGCCCAAAATCCGGTTTTTTATGAAAAGTTCAACCTTTTTTATGTTTATCCTTTTTCTTTTGTTCAACCTCTTCTCTCCTTTCCTTTTCTTCCTTCTTTTTTTTTTGACAGCAGTTAATTGTGAATTTTTGAAATCTAGACAATTTGATTTCATTTTTGCATTTGGAGTTTAGCTAAAATAGAGGAAATTCCTAGTTTTTTTTTGATGCATAAATACTTCTAGCCGTCCACCAGCTCGGCCGCGACTACTTCCTCGATGTGTCAATGTTTGAGCGCCTCTACAACATTGGATTCCCGCATTCATCACTTTTGGTATTGTTTTTATTTATATTTCGAAAAATTGGCCTTTTAGAAACAACATCGTATGCGTCCCGAATTCACCGAGCACATTGTCCGCCCACATTTCTACCCCAGGTATCTGAAAGCTAATTTTTTAAAAGGTTTTTCTAGGCTTGAAGACCACGAAACTGTGCTCAAATACCCGTCGGTCGCCGGTATGGGCAAAGATGTAGGCACTCCTTTAATTCTAATTTGTTTTCCACATTTTTAGTTGTTCTTCTGGACCCACCAAGTTGCCGAAGAGACCCTCGGCTACGAGAGCACGTCAAAGCTGAACACCTACGAAATCGAGCAGGCCGTCGCCCTGGCTCGATATCTCATCCTGCAGGCCGTCTACCAGCCTTCGGATGTGGGTCTTCCTCACCGTATATAGATTTTGGTGCTTTTGCGATAACGGGGGGGGGACAAATTTCTAATTTTTAAAAATTGGGGAATCTGGATTCTCTAATGGAAATAGTGGAAGTTTCCGCGATTTTTTTCAGGATTCCAGGGGGCGTCAAAATTTTACAAATTTTTTGAAAATACAAAAATAAGGATAAGGATTTCGATGAAAATTGCCTTTTTAAGCTTCCTTATATTTTGGTACGGGGGGGGAGGGGGTAACTTAACAAATTTGTATGCATTTAGGTTTTATATTATAAACAGGGCAGTATCTCTACGTTGTTTTTCACCATTCCTAAGCGTAAAAACTTTACAATTTTTTAGACATTTTTCTAATGTTGCTAAATAGCTTTTTTGCAACTTAATTTTGGATTGTTTGAATAGAGCTAAATTTCAAGTAGAATCCATATTAAGATACTTGTTGATTACTTGATTACCAGGCATATCTGGCCTTCTAACGAAATGCACCCACCCCCTCCCCGATATTGCCAAAGGACCCTTTTTCTAGATCACCATCCTGTGCACCTACACCGCCCAGACGCAATTCATGCGCAAGGAGGTGGGCCAAACCCTGGGAATGACGCCAGATGGGAAGACTGAAGTGCAAGTGGAGACACTCGATGGATACCAGGGAAAGGTATCTGCTTTTTGTGGTTGACATCTTCATATTCATTTTTCAGGAAAACAAGATCATCATCCTGTCGCTGGTCCGGTCGAACAATTCGGAGGGCACGATCGGCTTCCTCGGCGTCAAGAATCGAATCTGTGTCGCGTGGACACGTGCCCAGCACGGTCTCTACGTCCTTGGCAATATGACGTTTTTGGCTGGCAGGTAGGCGGTTTTAAAGGGAACGTGACGGCAATTTCGTGAACTCTTTCTGATATAAATGGAGCCTTTTTGATTTTTTACCAGCCCTAAAATAAAAAATTAAAAACTGCGAATTTTTGTTTAAAAAATTCAGAAAACACGGTTTTTCGACTAAAATTTCCACTTCTTGGTTTTCTGAATTTTTCTGAATTTTTTCCAAGCTTTTTTATCACCCGAAGTATAGTTAAATTTAATCGCAAATCCCTGAAAATTGATTATGAAATTATGCCTGATTTTGAAGCAAAAAAATTGCCCCCCCCCCCCGATGTTGCCAAAGCGCTACCGTTGATTTTTGGCTAGGGCTATTTTCGCGAATTATCTCCGTTTTTCCAGATCGCAACTGTTCAACCAAATCTGCGGCCGGCTCGTCATCGCCCAGTCGATTGGCGAATGTCTTCCGGTGTGCTGCACAAATCATGGCAAGAGTCAGGTATCGTCGTTTGCACAAATAAGAATACAATTTTCTTAGAACATTCAATTCCCGGAGCAGCTGAAGGAGAAGTGCCCGGAGGGTGGCTGCGATCTGGAGTGTCTGAAAAAGCTCGCCTGCGAACACAAATGCCCCAGAAAGTGAGGATTTTGCAAAATTGGACCTTTTTTTTTTTTATTTTTTCCCCTTATTCCCCAATACCCCCCAAAAACACCAAAAAAATTAATTTAATTTTTTTTTTTTTTTTTTTTATTTTTTTTTTTTATAAAAAAAAAAAAAAAAAAAAAAAAACAAAAACATTTTTTTTTTTATTTTTTTTTTAAAAATTTTTTTTTTTTTTTTTTTTTTTTTTAAAAAAAATTTTTTTTAAAAAAAAAAAAAAAAAAATTTTTATAAAAAAAATTTGCCCCCCCCAAATAAAAAAAACAAAAATACCTTGTTTTCCTGAAGAATCTCTGCTAGTTTACCTTTATATATTTTTTAGATGCCATCCGATCGATGACCACTACGCCTATCGCTGTCTGGTGATCGTTGAGAAGGGCTGTAAACGGGGCAAGCACGTCGATTCGAAGCCATGTTATGAGGTGGGTTTTTACTTATAGCTTTTGATTTTGAATATAAATCAGGCACTTTTATTAAATCACTTTGAAAATAACTTTAAAGTGAATTTTGCAATGGTTTCGATTTAATTTTTAGTTAGATCCATAATTTCCTTTATTTTCCAGGAATTCGGTCCGTGCTACCGGTCGTTCGAGTTCAAGCTGGCATGCGGGCACACGGCCAAATACCCCTGCTTCACGGATGATGCCGATCTCAAGTGCAACGCACCGTTCGTTTTTCTGCCATTTTCGCACAAAAAAAAATTGAGGTGCGCGCTGAAGCTGCCGTGTGGCCATGGCTGCAAGGCGAAATGTGGCCAGCCGTGCACCAAGATTTGCCAGGAGGTATGATTTGTCGAAATTTAAAGTAATTGCCAAAATACCGACGGTAAAAATGCTGGCAGCTATAATCCCGTAAAAATCTAATGGAAAGCCTATTCAATGCATACAAAACACTATTAATTTGTGTATTGTCGGCATTTTGCCGTATCGGCGTTTTGGCAGTGGACATTTTGTCGTCTTGGGTTTTGGCGGTCAGGATTTTGGCGTGTCGGGATTTTCGAATTTCGGTGGTTCGTCGGTCGGGATTTTCACATGTCGGCATTTCGGTCGTCAAACTTTTGCGACGTCGGCATTTTTGCTGTCGGGATTTTTGAATTTTGACATGAATCACTTCCAGGAAATCGAGGTGATGCACCCGACGTGCCTTTTCAAGCATCGAACGAAAGTGCGTTGCGGGCTTGCCGTCGAGTTCTACGAGGTTTGTATGCCGAATTTTACATTCTTTTTTTAAGAGCAAATCACCGTGTCCGCATCCGTGTCAAGAAGTGCTCGCCTGTGACCACATTTGCGCGAACACGTGCGGCGAGGATTGCGTTTTCGAGTGCCTTGAGGTATGTTTTATCTTAGATTTCTGGATTAGTAGAGCTGTAAACGAAAGATTAGCTGTTTTTATAAAAACTAGCTATTTTTCAAGTGGACTTTTTCGATCAATTAAAAAAATTCTAAAAACTAAAAGTTTGGCCACAAACCTGTCGTTTTCTTTTTTAACAAAACTTGGCCAAGTTTTTGGCTTTAGAAGTATAGAAAACCTTGTAGAAAGAGCACCCGAAAATTTAATCTTTTATGCCCCCCCCCGATATTGCAACAGGACCGATTATCCTATTCTTTTTTTAGGTGGTCCACCGCGAGCTGCCCGGCTGTGGCCACCTCGAGGAGATGCTCTGCTTCCAAAGCGTTGATGCCGTCAACTGCATGACGTGTCTCAAGACGAAAAAAGAGGAAGCCGAAGGAGAAGAAGAAGACGACCATTAATCAAATAAATCCATGACCAAATTTGTAGCAATATTTATGGTTTTAACTGCTTTTCGCTCCCTCGATTGTCGCTTACGATTAACACGGGTTTTATGCACGGCATTACTCAATGTTTTGTGATCAATTTTAATTTCGGTGATCGCCTGGCGTTTTGGATAATAAAGCAGGGATTATTTTAATGGCATTGATTTGTGTACCGGAAATCGTCTCAGACGAAACACAGAGTATTGACATGGAAAGGAGGGAAAGAAGAGGAGAGAGAACGAGAGAGAGAGAGAGAGAGAGAGAGAGAGAGAGAGCGAGATAGAGAGCGAAACAGATTCAATACAAATTTCAACCTTGCTTCCAGGTACGACGATGCTGACACGCGCCTTCAACTGTTCAGATTGCGAGAAGCCGTTTGGCTGCACGGTTGGAGAGCGGGCCATGCCCATTCTGCAGGCATCTAGATGCCGTGCATGTACGCCCCGCCTCCCAACGTTCACTGACCCGTTGCCACCACAACTCGGCTTGATGAATTTCCTAAATCAGCCGGCTTTCAAAAGGACTGACGAGGGATACAACTACACACTACCGATCAACGAGCCAGTGTGCCTTGGCTGTAATCACGCGATCAGCATCTTCGATGGAGAGCTTGCTTTCGTCGCCAATTGTGGCCATTATATCTGTCAGGGCTGTGACCGAAAGCGGCCAAATCCAGGAGGGTTCGTTATCGGAGCACCCCACTTGACTTGCACGATTTGTCGCAAGGCCCCTAGCGGCCCGAAGCCTTTTCCGGCAGACACATTATTGGCCGCTTTTTCGTCCAGCATCAAGGATTGCCATATCAAGGAATTGAGCGAAGCTTTGCAAACCGAAAAAGCTCGTCTCGAGGCGATTGTAGCGAAACAGGAACTGGATCGCTACCGTGGAGCTGTTCAACGATGCAGGGACTGTGGTATTGAGCAACCCGTTGAGCGCCTCTTCCTATGCAATGATTGCACGAAAGTCGTTTGCGGCTTCTGCTCGTTCAATTCGCACCGAGAACATTCCGTCGATCAGCTTCTCGGCCTGGAGCTCGGTGAATTGCAAAACAGAAACGATCAGATCTACACCGAAACCCTTGAGGGTCTACATGGAAACCTCCAATATATCCATACCAATATCGACGAGGCCGTTGAGAAGGTGGTGAGCGCCGGCAGGGAATGTCTGGCTAAAATCTCAACCAGTGCGCAGTACGAATATGCTCAAAAAATCGCCACGACGATCGACAAGGCGGCCGACAAGTTCGAGCAGCACTGCGAAGAATATATTCCTGTTGCCCGCCGATTCTCCACGAAACTGACAGAGCTGGGCGAAGAATTGACGGAATATCAGAAATGAAAATCGCCAGAATTTTTTTCTATTTGTTATTTCGAAGTTTTGCATGCTGGATAAATTTCTTTGTCGATTTGAAAACTTGTTTCTGAGGATTCCGGGTTGTTGGCCCTAGCTACTTGTATGTTTTGGAAGAAATATTTCTGATTATAAGCCGTTTAGCTATGCAAGGACCTCGATATCCTCTCCATTCCGCTTAACAAATTTACCAAAATCCCGATTAATTTTCTGATTTCAGGTGGCCGACGATGCTGACACGCGCCTTCAACTGTTCAAATTGCAAGAGGCCGTTTGGCTGCACGTATGGAGAGCCGGCCCTGCCCAGTCTGCACGCACCTACATGCTATGAATGTACGCCCAGCCCAATCTTCGCTGTGCCATTGTCACAACGCGGCTTGATCGATTTCCTAAATCAGCCGGCATTCAAGAGGACTGACGAGGGATACGACTACACACTACCGATCAATGAGCCCGTGTGCCTTGCCGCTGTTACCACCCGATCGGCATCTTCGATGGAGAGCTTGCTTTCGTCGCCAATTGTGGCCACTATCTGTGCCAGGACTGTGACAGATGGCGAGCAGTTCGTTCTTTAGGATTGTTCTCCAACTTGCCGCTGGCCGCTCTTGATTTGCACGGTTTGTGGTACGGCGTCAAACGGACCCAAGCCTTTACCGGCAGACACCTTATTGGCCGCTTTTTCGTCAGAAATTAAGAATCGAGGTATTCAGGAACTGAACGAACGATTTAACGAAAAAGAGAAGCAGAACAAAGCTCTGGTGGCAGAAAAGACTCGACTCGAGGCTATGATAGCGAAAAATGCAAAGGAACGCGGCAATGGAGCTGTGAAACATTGCGGAGACTGTGGCATCGAGCTGCCGGTGGAACGTCTGTACAAATGCAAAGACTGTGACACGATCAATTGCGGAAATTGCTGCTTCGATTCGCACCGTGAACATTCTGTGGAGAAACTTCTCGGCATCGAGCTCGATCAACTGCAGAAGCAGAACGACAAGAGGTACACGGAAATTCTCGGAGGTTTGCATGGAAACCTGAGACATATCCAGACGACTATCGATGATGCTGTTCTGAATGTTGTAGCCGTCGGCAAGGAATGTCTGGTTAAAATCTCAACCAGTGCGCAGTACGAAGATGCTCAAAACATCGCCACGACGATCGACAAGGCGGCCAACAGGTTTGAGCAGCACTACGAGAAATATATTCCTGCTGCCCGCCGATTCGCCACGAAACTGACAGAGCTGGGCGAAGAATTGACGGAATATCAGAAATGAAATCGCTAGAATTGTTATCTATTTGTTATTTTGACTTTTTACATGCCGGATAAATTCCTTCGACTATTTGAAAACTTGTTTCCGCGGATTCCGGGTTGTTGGCATAGCTATTTGTATTTCTTGGAAATAATATTCTGATTATAAGCCATTTAGCTGTACAAAAATATCGATATTTGCCTCTCCATTCCGCTTAAGAAATTTACCAAAATGCCGATTAATTTTCTTGTTTCAGGTGGTCGACGATGCTGACACGCGCCTTCAACTGTCCCAAATGCAAGAAGCCGTTCGGTTGCGCGGAGGGCGAGTCGAGGAAGCCTTTTTTGGACGTTTCTCAACTGGGCTGCGTTTCCTGCATCCCAACGTTCTCTACGGAATTTTCACAGCCCGGTCTGATGGACTTCCTAAGACAGCCGGCGTTCAAAAGGACTGACGAGGGATACGACTACACGCTACCGATCAACGAGCCAGTGTGCTTTGGCTGTGATCACGCGATCAACGTCTTTGATGGAGAGCTCGCTTTCGTCGCCAATTGTGGCCATTATATCTGTCAGGGCTGTGACCGAAAGCGGCCAAATACAGGAGGGTTCGTCTATATCGGAGCACCCCCCTTGACTTGCACGATTTGCCGCACGGCGCCAAACGGCCCGAAGCCTTTTCCGGCAGACACCTTCTTGGCCGCTTTTTCGTCAGAAATTAAGAATCGAAGTATTCAGGAACTGAACGAACGATTTAACGACAAAGAGTCGCAGAACAAAGCTCTGGTGGCAGAAAAGGCTCGACTCGCAGCTATGGCAGAAAAAATTCGACTCGAGGCAATGGCGGAAAAGGCGCGACTCGAGGCTATAATAGCGAAACAGGGAGAGGAACGCGGCAATGGAGCCATGAAAAACTGCGGAGACTGCGGCATCGAGCGGCCGGTGGAACTTCTCTACAAATGCAAAGGCTGTGACACGATCAATTGCGGAAATTGCTGCTTCGATGCTCACCGTGAACATTCCGTGGAGAAACTTCTCGGCATTGAGCTCGATCAACTGCAGAAGCAGAACGACAAGAGGTACACGGAAATTCTCGGAGGTTTGCATGGAAACCTGAAACATATCCAGACGACCATCGATTCGGCGGTGGATGAGGTGATGGAGGCTGGAAAAGATCTTCTGACAAACATCGCCAAGTGCACAAAATATGCCGAAGCTGAGGTGATTGTCGCCAAAGTGGAAAAAGCGGCCGACAAGTTTGAGGGACACTGTGAGGTCTACATTCCGGTTGCTCGCGAATTGGCCACTCGACTGACGGAGCTTGGCGAAGAGCTGAAAGAGGTGGAAAAGAAATGATTGTTATCTTGATTTCCATAATTGTTATCACGTTGTTATTGCTTTTCACATGTTGTTTGTTGAAAAAAGGGATGCTATCAAACTGCGTACGGTTTTGAAAAAGGTTTGGCGCCTATTGAATTCCTGTATACCGGCATCTATCGATTGAACGCTATTGGAGTTGACTTGGCATTTTTTACGTGACTGGGTGATGTCAGGAACGCAATATGGCGATATTCGCAAGTTATTCTCATTATTTTACTCAAAAACTTCAAAAAGTACAAAGCACTTCCTTCTTTCTGATTTTTAGACAATTAGGTTTCTCGAGTTGCTTTATCCTTCCTCTTCCCCCCTCCCCTTTTTTTTTTTTTTTTTTTTTTTTTCCCTCCCCCCCCAATTATTTTTGGGGGCCCCCCTTTCCCATGCGCTATTTGGCGGATGGGGCACCGTACCCCCGCCCAATCGCCAGAGTTGGCTCACTGCCACGGCTCAGTTGGCTGGCTGGAAGGGAAATGAAGTCAAGCTGACGAAGCCCAATCCCGAAAATGCTTTTCTTATGTTTTTGAAATGCTGCTATTTGGCTATTCTTTTCCGTTTTTCCATTCGGTGCTCTCCTTTATCCTTGCTATTAATATTTCCGTCATTTCAGGTAGCTGCCGGAGCTCGCCAACACTTTCGGCCTCGCTGGGAATGTTTGATTCGGTGAGTTTTTTAATGAATTCGGCTAGAAATCGTCAATAGGCATTGATGAATGGCGTAATAATTGCATAATATTATTCCCTAGTTTTTTTAGTTTACAAATGCCCTTCATAACTTTACTTTTCAGGACCCCACATCGTTGTACAGCGTGAAGGCCATCGTGATCCTCGACCAGGACGGGAATCGCGTCGTCAACAAGGTAAAAAACTTTATTTTTGGGTATATCATAAATCTATCTTTTTTGCAGTACTACGACAAGGAGGCCTTCCCGACGACAAAGGAACAACGCGCTTTCGAGACGAGCCTCTTCAAGAAGTCCCAGCGCAACACTGGATGTTGGTTTCTTTCAAGGAAAATGATTTGTTCTTTTTACTGCTCACAATAACCTTTTTTATAGCCGAAATCATCCTGCTCGACGGCATCACATGCCTGTACCGCTTCAACGTCGACCTCTACTTCTACGTGCTCGGCGCGGCTCGAGAGAATGAGCTGGTAAAAACTCGTTTCTTTTAAAATTCCGTCTGTTTTGCAGATCCTAGAAAGCGTATTGAACGGCCTGTACGACTCGGTGTCGACGGTGCTGCGGAAGAACATTGAGAAGAAGGTGGGATCGTCTATTTTCTTTGTGTAATTGATTGCAATTTAGGCCCTCCTCGACGTGATGGACACCACGATTCTCATCATCGACGAGATTTGCGATGAGGGGTCCGTTTTCTTGATTGTAAATCTAAAAAACAGGGTGTTGCCCGAAGGACCCTCTAAGGCTTTCCGGATAAATGGCCGATTTTTGTGATGTAGGCATCATTGGAAAGCTCTCGGAAAGGTTAACATAATTTCGGTCCGGGTTTTTTCGAAAATTCTGATTGTTTCGAAGATTTACGAAGTGTTTTTGGGAAATTCCGATGCTTTTGCGGTTGACGACTTTTGTGAAACCCCCAATTTAGGAATTTTAATGTTTTTTTTTGGCATTTTTATGCCTACTTTTTGAACTCGATTTCAGGCAAATTTGGATCGCGTTTTCAACGTGCTTTGAAAATTTGCTTTCGTTTTGAGAACTCAAAGATGGAACATGTATTTGAAATCCGAATTCGGAAAATACAATATAGTTGAGAGCTTTCGAATGATACCTAAATCATAAAATTGGACGTTTACGCTGGGAGGTTTTATTTTTCCAAACTCTTCAGAGATCGCCCGTTTTATGCCTATTTTCCATTTTTCAGAATCATCATGGAGACGGACCCGCAGGCGATCGTATCGCGATGCTCGCTGCGAGGGGATGAAGTTTCGTTTGGCTCCGATCAATCCTTCTCCCAGGTATCGCTTTCAAATGTTGACCGGAATTTTCTCGAAAACCCGTGTTTTTGACTACTTTCTTTATTTATCCCAATTTCCAGATCGGCGGCAGTGCCATCAGCGCCCTCAAGGATCAATTCAAGTGGTCGCTGTACAAATAAGCCCCTCATCATCTTCGGTAATATAATAGCATCTGTTTTGTTTCTCCATTGCCCGTTACCACGCTCTCCTGTGATATTAACTTATTTTTCTGCGTCTCGTCATAATCTCTACAACTTTTCGGCCACTTTTTCGCGCGTTTTTTCGTGGATTTGATGGAATAAATGCGTCTAAATGGTCGTTTTCGAACAAGGAAAAGCTTAAAATTGCACCGGATGACTCAAAGGGGGATGTTTCAGGAATGACAAGTGTAAGGGGGAGGCGGCTTCCGCTTATCCGGTCTCTCGATCGGCATGCCGACGGAAATTGTAGTTTGTAGGCGCCCCACATTTCCCGCCTGTAATCGTTTTGCATAAAAATATAGGGTTCGCGTCTTTTAATTGGCATACTTTTACGATAAAAGGCGGTTATTATAATTTTAAAAAATCGATAACATCTTCACAAAGAAGCTGAGCAAGTTCTGAGGCTTTTAAAATCAAAACCCAGCCCCTAAAAGCACTTTGACAATCGTGGAGCATTGATTTCCAATTTCCTGTTGAAAATTTTGAGTATTAAGGTCTATTCTTTTTCCAGTGCAGCAATGTCACCACCGACAATAACAGGACTCGGTGTCATCGCATTCGCCAACAACATCTACTGGGCCGTCAAGATGAAGCCGGAGGGCGCCAAGATGGTCTACTCGATATATGTGCCCACCGAACTCGTCCAGCAGGTATCCCTCACTTTTTCAGGAGCCTTATTAGCTATTTGTTTAGGTATACGGCGTGTCGAATGGCGATTTTGTAAAAGTGACGGCGACGAAATGGGAGGCGCCTTCCGGCCTTTCTTTTACCGGCATCACCTATAAAGCGACGGCTGTGAGTGGATATTCGAAATGTTATAAACTAGCGCTGCCTCGGGTCGTTTTGAGCGAAACTATTGGCAAAAATGCAATCGGGAAAACGATGGCTAATTTTGGGGGTCGTGTATGGGAATTTTTGGACTGGGATATCGATTTCTCGCACCGAAAAATTCGCGAAAGAGAATTGTCCTTTTTTTTCCTTATGGTTTCTACGACCAAACTTTTTAAATTGCTCTGAAAACATACAAAAATTAATGATTAGTTGTAGGCCCGCTGGCACGGTCACCCGAAAATGATCGAGGGCCAAGCGCGCGTCCACAACACCGACCCCAACGGCGAATTCTGCTTTTTAGAGTATGTCGAGACCGGCAAACTGATAAAGGTGATTCCTCTGGGTTTGGGCAAAACAGATAATGAATTTAGATATTCGCCGTCCGTACGAATTGGCGGCCCGAGGTGCCGTCACTGGCGGGAATTTTGAAAGCCGGCGATTCGGTCACCTTTCGAGCCCAAGAGCAGCCATTTGCGGGCGGCAATCAGGCGGATGTGCGGTTTAAGACCGTCTACTTCACCCATGCCAATAATTCGATCGATGCGGATGGGACTGTTACACCAAAGGTATAATTTTGAGGGGTAAAAATGTTGTGCTTTAGGTAGAGAAAGATCAGCTGAATTACCTAATTTGAAAAGTTAACTCTGGTGTTGAAAATGGTATAAAAATTGACGAAACGCCCAAAAATTGCCGCTTTTTTGTTTTATTGACATATTTTAATCAAGTTTCGGGGGGTTTAGATGCTCTAAAAACACCTAAAAATGATACAATCTTTTATCACTCATCTCCATGCTTTTATTCCAGGTCCGCGCCGTGCCCGGCACAACCCCAAAAGCCCGTGGAACTACGGCCACCGTCGAAAAGCAGAAAATCGTCTCCACCTCGCCGGCCCCCACCACAACTCGTCTACCCATCACAACAACAGCAACCCCTTCAACGCCATCCAAACCCGAACCCAAACCCAAAGCAAAACCCGAGCTCCCTGAGCCCCGGCCCGACGCGTGGAATATGGAGCGACGGAGATCCGACGCCTCCACCCCAGTCGACAATATTGTAAAGGAGATGGCAAAATTGGAGGTGAAAGCTGAGCCGAAAACACGGGAAGAACGTTGGCAGGCCGATATGCAGGTATCGAAATGTTTGGTTCTTTCGCGTCATCGGGGGTCCAATTTTTTTCCCGATATGTCCAGAAATGTTTAGTACCTGGTCGCCAACCGTTTTAATAGTGTTTTTAAGTAGAATTTATTTTTATTTCAAACGGAAAAACAATAAAGAAAACTTTAAAAAAATTTCAGACCAAAATTTTGTCAAAAATCGGCCATTTTTGATCAAATTTTGTAAATTTTTTACGTTTAGAAATAGTAAAAACTGTTTAAAAGCATTGCCTCGATTGATGCGAGAAAATTGGTGCTTTAGAAAAAATTGGTTCCCGCCCTGATAATGCTAAAGAACCAAATATTCTATTGCAAAAACTCCACTTTTTAGGCGATTTCCTATCTAACGCAACTGCTCGCCGATGGCCATTGTTCGGGATGTGTCGCCCAAGCCGTCGCCAAGTCACAAAATCAAACCCCTAATAATAACAATAATAAGTGACGCTGCCCGGCTGAATTTTCTAAAATTTGTTTGTTATTTTCTGTTGTTATGTTTTGGGCTAGTCGAATCTATTCGCCCCCCGCCTTGGCATCTCTACTCGGATACCTTTTCGCAGAAATGTTGAGATTTTTCTATTAACGAAACGATAAGAATTCTATTCTATGCGCCCAATTATTATTATATTTGGTAAAATTTACGTTTGGCGTTCGAAGCGCGGGTTTTTGTCTTTGCTAGTCTCCCCCCAAATGTTTACTCCTTCTTTTCCAATCCTCAAAAACGAACACAGTCCGCCGATTTCTATTGTAATAAAACGATGGCAGCTATTTTGTCGAAATAATCGTGCTCGATTGTGATTCGTGCTCATCTTTGCACCATTTCCGTCGCACCGTCTGGCTCGTCTACTTCTTGTTTTCCGGATTTGATGTTCTGAAATGAGCGCAAAGTGGAGATTTAATAAAAATGCATTTAGACGATGACGCGCACCTCGACGCGCGAGGCGGCCAAGCGCTCGGCGCAGAAGACGAACGCCATGCTGGAGGGGGGAACGCCGCCCAAGACGCCGAAGCGAGACGAGTCGCGCACGCCTAGGGTGAGGCCCCGATTTTGTAAACTTATTTTCCTTGTTTAGAAATCTCTTACTCGATCGGCTCAAAAACAACAACAGGCGCCAGCGGAAAAAACCCCGAAAAAGCCGGCAGCTCGACGCCTCGATTTTGGTGATGCCGACTCGCCGCAGGAGGATGAGGTCGTTGCTATATTTTGTGAAAACATATGTCCAATTCAGCGATCAGCTCGACTCTCTGCTAGAAAACAACCTGCATCGTCCACAGCACGACCCGTTGGGAGGCCAAGGAAAGAAACTGGAACCCCGGCCCGGAAGCGCCTCGAATTTGACGATGAAAATCTGGAGCAATCTGACGACGACGATGACGAGAACTTTGACCCGCAGGTAAGTAGATCCTTTGCTGAATTAAAAAAGTATATGTTTAGTTAAAAGCAACGACGTCGAAACCAAGAGGTCGTCCACGGAAGGCGATGAATACAGTGGGAGCTCATGACGGCCAGGCAACGCCCAGCAAGATCCTCGCCGACCAGATCAACCGCATTAGCCTCGGGAACATCGACAAGTAGTTCCGTTTCTCTAGGCGAATACGATATTTTTTAGGTCTCCAGAGCTTGATGATCAATTTCTCGACGAGTTCGATCAGATTCAGTTGAGTCGCGCGGATCGGTATTTCCAGAGGGGTGCGTTTTAGGATTTCGGCTTACTTTTATGTTATTTATCCACAAAAATTTTTCTTTGTAATAAATTGTAAGCAAAAAAAGCAAAAAAATATTCTAAGTGTAAGTATATCCACGTTTTTAGGGCGCGGAACCGGTGCCCGTGGTCGTGGTCGACGAGGACGGGGCGGGAAAACGAATCGACGGGAGGGCGGTCGGATTGCGTAAGTTCACATTTTTACAACCTCAAATATTTATTTAGTAAAACTTCTGATGCCATGGAAGAAGACGCCGAGCCGCTGGACGATCTGGCCTCCCTCGAGGTCCTCGACCTGGCCGCCATCAAGGATTATATGGCGGTATTTAATTATATCTTTTGTTTTTAATAACTGATCGTTCTAGAGCTTCTCCTACGAGAATCCACCACTCCCGAAAAGCCGTCTGGAGAAGAATCGAAAGGACGCCGAGGCGCTCTTCACCCAGTGGCAGCTGTATTCGAACTTTGGCTTCAATTTCTTGGTATAAATGGCAATTTGGCAATAATTTTATTTCTTCAGGTCCATGGTGTCGGGTCGAAAAAGTGTCTGCTGGAAGAGTTCCAGGAACGCTTTCTGCAGGGCGAGGATACTTTTATGGTATGTTGTTTGGGTTTTTTTGGTTCAGGAGGCCAACTTTTAGTAAGTATTTCAAGACTGTTTTTTAGTAAAATTAAATATTTTAACTGAAAAACAAACAAAGAACTTTTTAAGTAATTTTTAGTCGAAATCGGCCATATTTGGTCGAAAAAATATATTTTTCTATTTTTTAAACTAAAATTTGTAAAGTTTTACGTTTAGGAATAGTAAAAAACGGTTTAGAAACAATTAAAAAATGAGATCCTTAAAAAATCCCCCCCCCCCCCCCCGATAACGCGAAAGAACCGGATTTTAGTACTTGTAAAATATTTTTGCTTTAGATTGACGGCTACCTGCCCACAGTGACGATGAAGGGGATTCTGGGCGCGATCAACGAGTCGTTAAAGCTGAAGATTGCGGTCAGTTTTGCTTTTTTACGTTGAAGGCAGTAGTTTAGCCAAAACGCAAGATGAACACCTCGGATTGGGCGAGGTCCGTCGGGAGGGTCATCCGAAAAAGGAAGGAGCACGTCTATCTGCTGCTCAACAGTTTGGATGGGCCGCATATTCGGTGGGTACTAAAAGCGTTTTATAAAGTTCTGTTTTCCAGAAATGATATCGCGATCCTGGCGAATCTCGTCTCGGCCGCCCCAGAACATCTACACCTCATCGCCACCGTCGATCATCTCAATTCGATGCTTCTTTTTGATACGGTATCAAACCTTTTATTGCCGTAATTTGTCTTCTAGTGTACCCTCGGGGCATTCCGATTCCTCTTCTGCGCTCACTCGAATATGCGATTGCCTGCTGAAGAGATTCTCGCGTCCGAGATTCGCATATTAGGTACCCAGTTTTTAAAATAATAAAATCTCTTTTTTAGGAATGAGCGCGAAGAACGCGAAAATCCAGCACACCGTCGCCTCGCTCGACGTCATCTGGACGTCATGCCCGGAGAATTCTCGCAAGATATTCCGGCTCTTCTTCGCGCTCTACTTTGCCCAAAACGCGTCCGTCTCTTTCTGGGATCTCTTTGATCAAGCACGGTATGAATTTCTCGTTTTTGAAGAATCTGGGGAGCTTTTGCAATATCCGGGGGTGGGGTAAATTTTTCACTAGAATTAGAATTTTCTGGCATAAGTAGAAGTGTTTTGAACTGTTTGAACCGTGAAAACGTTACAAAATTTTATTAAAATCTTATAAAAACATAAATTCCATTTTCAACAAAAAAAATTAAAATGTTTAAAATTTTTCGACACCTTTTGACTAAAAACGCTCTTAAAATGCTTAGCACTTTTCTGGAATAATATGACAAGCTATATTTCCACCCCCGATAATGCCAAAGCACCGAATGTTCATTTAGCGATCGTTTCTACGTGTCGACCGACGTGGCCCTACGACAGCAGATTGTCGAATTTGAGGACCACAATATTGTGCGCATTCGCAGGTCCGTTTTCACCTAATTTTCAATATCCTTTTCTTAGATCGGAGGATGGTAATGAGAAACTGACGGCCGCCGTCGATCGCGAGCTAATCGAACGCTTCTTACAAGAGAAGGGCCTCACACTGAATGCTGACGATGATGACGACGATTGAGCCATTGAAATTTATGCATTATTTACCACTTTGCTACATTCCCACTACCTCGGTTGTATTTTCCCCCACATTACGGGCGTTGTATTCCCTCAATTCATGCCGGTTTTTGTAATCATCGATTCTCAAGAATGCCTGTAATTTGCTGAACAATAAAGTACATCCTTTTGAATTCGATGAAAGTTCGTGAAAAATTTTTTGTGAGCGAGGGTGGTTTACGAATTGTCCTGTGTGACTTTTAGAAATGATAACTGTATTAACGAACGCAGGCAAAAATTATAATACAAACGATGAGAACAGTCGATAGATAGCTACCAGGGGTCATCATCATCGGCGCAGAAAAAGCAGCCCATGTAGGACAGCTGTGGGTAGATCAACAATTCCAGCAACATCTCGTCGCCTCTGGACAAAACATCGCGTTGGCCGTATGGGTGGCAGTAGCCGTCGATCTCGTATGGGTCAAGCGCCGCGTCAGTGTAGATATAAACCATCAATTCGTCACGCTGGCCCGATTTCCATTGTTCGAACAGCTTCTGCACCACAGTTTTAACCTTTTCGGTGACGTTTATGCCGCCCGTGACGATGGTGATTCTGCATTCTTTCAGTTTCCATTCTGGAATGTAGCTCAACCATTCAACCGCTGCTTTTCGGAAAAAGATTCCACCGACATCTTTCAGCGCATGCCGCAGCTCCAAACCCGCAGCCGATTCTTCAGGCGTCCACCAGCCCATACAGTGGACCTCCGAGGTACGCCAAAGCTTGATCAATTCAGCGCACTTGTGGGCATCGCGTACCTTGCCGACAAATTCGACGGTTCGAACGGTCATAGCAGGGGCGATTTTCGTCGTCAAATCACACACCACGTTCGTAACAGAGGCGTTTTTCAACAGAACATCGTCATCGTGGAAGAAGAAATGGAAATTGTCGATGACGGCGTGGCGGTAGGATAGATGAACGACTTCCCATTTCTTGCCGGTCCAATCGCCGACACGCTCATGCAGCAATTTGTGCGATTTGGCCACCTCCAGCAAAGATCGAGCGTCGAGTGGACCCATCACTTCATGCATCAGATCGAGCGGCAGATCGAGAAAACCCCGATTAGAACTGGATTGGCCATTGCCCTGGAGATCCATCGCTTCAAGCTTTTCCAGCAACTGCGGATCCATTTCCTGGGCGCCCAACTGTAAAAATGGAGTTAATTGGAGGAAAAGCATAGATGAGAAAATGGAATTTATGAGAAACCTCCCCCCCCCTTCCCCCCTCCCTGCCCCCCCGGGGGGGGGGGGGCGATTCTTTTTCCTTCCCTTTTTTTTTTTTTTTTCTCCCCCCCCTTACATCTTTCCCTTTTTTCCCTTCCCCCCCCCCCCAAAAAAAAATTCCTTCCTCTCTTCTTTTTTTCCTCAAACCCCCCCCCCCTTTTTTTTAAAAAAATAAAAAAAAAATTTTTTTAATATTATAATATGAAGAAAGGTGGTTGTAATTTTACACCAAAACAAAAAAAAAAAAAACTTTTTTTTTATAAAAAAAAAAAATATAAAAATATTTATTTTTTTTTATTTTTTTTTTTTTTTTTTTTTTTTTTTTTCCCTTTTTTTGGGGGGGGGGGGGGGGGACCCCTTTTTTTTTTAATTTTTTTTTCCCCCTTCCTGGGGGGGGGGGGGGGGGGGGGGGTTTTTTTTCCCGGCGCGGGAGAAAATTAAATTTATAATTGGTCCCGCCGTAGAATTCTTTCCTAGCTACACAAGATTTTCAAAATTTCTTGGTGCCAAAACAAGCGCTACTTTCTTGCTCGATAAATTTGTAAGCCGAGCAAGCCTATCGACAAAAACGATGATTTTTCGTTTGGCAACAGTTTTATTCAACAAATAACATTTGGAAAACAATAACAAATTGAAAGCAATTCTGGCGATTCATTTCTTTTCCTCCTTCATCAGCCTTTCGCCGAGTTCGGTGAGTCGAGTAGCGAATACGCGAGCAACAGGAATGTACACTTCGCAGTGCTGCTCGAATTCGTCAGCCGCCGTGTCGACCGTGGCGACGATGTACTTGGCGTTTTCGTATTGTGTGCACTCCTTGACATGGGTTAGCCGATCCTTTCCAGCGATTAACACCTTTTCCACGGCATGATCGATAGCCGTAGCGAGAAATTTCAGGTTTCCCTGAAGACCTTCGAGGTTTTCCGTGTACCTCTTGTCATTCTGCTTTTGCAGTTGATCAAGCTCAATGCCGAGAAGCTTTTCCACGAAATGTTCACGGTGAGAATCGAAGCAACAGTTGCCGCAATTGATTGTCGAGCAATTGTGGCATTTGTAGAGACGTTCCACGGGTTCGATGCCACAGTTTCCGCAATCTCTTACAGCATCATCACTGCCAGCAGCGTTTTCCTTTTTCGCCACGATCACCGCAAGCCGGAGCTTCTCCGCTTCCAAGGCTCGAATCTCCTTTTCACGAGCAGCTAATTGGTCGTTCAGTGCCTTGATTTGAGCAAGCTTGATCGTTGCTGAAAAGCTTGCCAACAAGTTGTCAGCTGGATAGAAAGCTGCTTTGGACTGAATTCCACATTCGGCGCACGAATTGTTTATTAGGCCAACACGCTGGTAATCGCATTTCGTGCAAAGATAATGTCCACAGGCAACAGGGAAAACGCTGCTCCCTTCGAACACGCTGATCTCCATGCGACATCCAAAGCAGATCGGATTTTTGAGCTCCAGAGAGTATTCGTATCCGTTGTCCGTCTTTTTGAATCCCGGCTGGTTGAGGAAGTCCATCAGACCACGTTGCGGCAGCGATGGAGTAATCGGCAAACAACTCTTGCACCATACAACGTGATAGGCGGAGATGTAGACGGGTACCCTCGGACCGTCTTCCGTGCAATCGAATGGCTCATCGCACGTGGTGCAGGTGAAGAGATCCGTGAACATCATCGTTTACCTGAAATTAGAGCACGATCTGAAATTAAAAATGGTAATTCACCGCAAGCCCGCTACAGTCAAAGAAAACCTCCTAAAACATGCTACAGTCAATGAAACCCCCCTTAAAAACACGTGACATTCAATGAAAAACCCCTAAAAACACGTTACAGTCAATGAAAACCATTAAAAAAACACGTTACAGTCAATGAAAACCCTTAAAAAACACGTTACAGTCAATGAAAATCCCTCAACAGCCCGTTACAGTCAATGAAAACCATTAAAAAAACACGTTACAGTCAATGAAAACCCCTCAAAAGCCCGTTCTAGTCAAAGAAAACCCCTCAAAAGCCCGTTTCAGTCAAAGAAAATCAAGCGAAAGCCGATCGATCAAATCTTATTTAGTTCCGTTTACATACAAATTCTGAAACATCGCGTTTTTCGAAATGTATTTCAAATCCGCTAGTTGCTTTTTAAGTATTTATACTTATACTTATTTATAAATTTTTAAGGCTACCAAGCCTATCAGCAAAAACGAGGGTTTTTGGTTTGGCAACAGTTTTATTCAACAAATAACATTTGGCACAAAATAGCAAATTGAAAGCAATTCTGGCGATTCATTTCTTTTCCACATTTTTCAGCTCTTCGCCAAGTTCAATCAGTCGAGTGGCCAATTGGCGAGCAACCGGAATGTACACTTCGCAATGTTCCTCAAACTTGTCGGCCGCCTTTTCCACTTTCGCGGCGATCACCTCAGCCTCGTCATATTTTGTAGACTTGGCGATGTTCGTCAGAAGATCTTTTCCAGCCTCCATCACCTCATCCACCGCCGAATCGATGGTCGTCTGGATATATTTCAGGTTTCCATGCAAACCTCCAAGAGTTTCAGTGTATCTCTTATCGTTCTGCTTTTGCAGTTGATCAAGCTCAATACTGAGAAGCTTCTCCACGGAATGTTCACGGTGAGAATCGAAGCAGCAATTTCCGCAATTGATCGAGTCGCAGTCCTTACATTTATAGAGACGCTCGACCGGCCGCTCCCTGCCACATTCTCCGCATCCCTTCAAAGCGCCGCCGCGTCGCTCCTCCTCCTTCTTATCAATGGCTTCCAACTTCTGCGTCAGTTCCTTGATCTCGTCATCCTTCGCAGCCAGTTCCTCCTTGAATTTGTCGAGATGCTTCGCGCGAACGAAGCGGGGCTGACTGTTAAACGTCGCCAGAAATGTGTCTTTAAAAGGAGGTAGCGAACGATCAGGCCTGATCTGGCAAACTCGACAGAATGTCTCCGGTCGTTCGATACATCCTTTGCAGAAATAATCGCCACATTCGACGCGGTAAATCGCGTTGCCATGCCCGTGCGGAATAGCTTGATAGCATGAGCTGCACGTGGGGCCGATGAGGGGCGGATTGTATTCATATCCATAGGGTTGCTTCGTGAAGCAGTCCGGCTTGGCGAGGTATGACATCAGACTCTTCAGTGCGACACTCTTCGGGTCCTTGTCGCAAACGCGGCATCGAATCATCTTGGAACGTGGCGCGGCGACCGGAAATCGACGATCCCAATCGAATGGCAGCTTGCAATCCGGGCAGTTGAAGTAGGTGGTGAAGAGCATTGAACGCCTGGAATTGAGAGATTAATAGGGGGAAATTTGAAGTCAGAGAGCGAAGAGAAAACGTATTTCTTCAGCATTTTCGGTGAGCGAGTGAACTTTTCTAATGGAATAGGGTTTTCCACGGTGTTTCCAAGGTTTTTCGCGGCAGCCAAACTTTAAAAACTTGCAAAGATTTACCGCCAAATACAAAAATCTCAGTTTCCCAGAAAATTCAGATTTTGAAACGATTTTCAATGTTTTCCGAACGGTTTTTGGCACTTGAAAGATTGGGGAAACGGTTATTAAAATATTTGCTATGACGTGGCTAAAGATACCTGGATTTATAGAAAAAAGTCGCCGCGGAAATACTAAAAAGCGAGATGAAAATGCGGTGTAAAGGCTGTAAAAATGCTAAATGAATGTTGGTCTAGTGGCTCGGGTTTCCTGAACCAGCCAAAATTTTCGCGCCATCTTCTCTTGTAGCCTTCGCGATGGGTAGGCTCTAAAACGGCTATGAACACATCGATTAGGATTTTAATAGGATTAAAAAATCCGTATATTACACCACGTCTAGTAATCTTTTTGATAGTTGTAACAAGTTGTTTCCTATCCCCATAAAGCGTATTTAGCCGCCTAATGTACTCAGTTGAGACGACACCATGGTGGCACCATAAAACTCGGTGTCACCATGGTGAGTGGTCAAATCTCGGTGACACCATGGGTCGGGGGTCGGAGGCACCATGGATCGCTGGTTGGTGACACCATGGTACCGATTCGCGGTGGCACCATGGTGCGGAAACGGTGGCACTATGGTTCGGAGGCCGTGGCACCATGGTATGAATTTTCGGTGTCACCATGGTGCTAGGCCCAGTGTCACGGTGGTACAAATAAATTATTTGAAGCGGCAGTTCCAATACTGTTACTACGCTTTCGTTGCGTTTAGAGAACATAAACGAATAATTTAAGGCTCTAATGCATAAACGGCTGGCGGCGGATGACAGAATGAGGTCCAGAAGGGGTACGATGACCTTCATTTCGCTCTTCCAACAACATCGTTAGGATAGATGTGGCTCAATGATGCTAACACGCAATCTACACTTTAGATCCACTTTCTACCCGATTTTTGATCACAGAAATCTTCACTTTATGTTTTTGCGGAGCTTGGGCAAGATCGGTGGCCAGCCGGCCCGCCAAATTACGCGCCACTACTATTGACGCAGCCACCGTGGGCGCCGGTGGCAACGGGACAGCCGGCGCAAAAGCGGGGGTAACACAAAGGAAGAAGGACTTGTTCAACTTTTTGAGTATTCTCAACACTGAAGTAATAAATAATGATAAAACCTTGTTGTTTGAAAGGTTAAAACCTTGATATCGTTGATATTTATCTATATTGTGATGTTTAGGTAATATTCGTTTAGAACACAGCTCACGAAGGCGCAAGTTTGATGATAAAAGGTGAGTATTTTAGATTTTTTTGTCGATTTCTTTATTTGCAGGTAGCCCTTCGATCGTCAATTATGCTTTTGGATGCTTGAAGACGAGAATTCGGTCGGAAGAAGCGAGGTTTGCTTATATTTTGTCAAGATTTGCTTCTGAGCATCGTATATTTTTGTCAAAAGTGATTCAGAAGATAGTTTTGCCGATAAATCTTTCAATGACAAAGCCGACCGCGCTTTAAACTCGCTGTTAACTTTATGTTTCAGGTTTGGCTGCCTTCCGGCTTTGGACATCTATGTTTTTGCGAGCCAAAATCGGGACTTGTAGGTTTGACGTTTTATTATAAGCTTTTCTTTAGAGGTATCGCGCGGCTAGCTGCAATGTGCGAGCAAGAAGCGCATGTTCTCTGCCCCGTGGATGATCTTCTATCGATGATTTGGTATACCGGTAACTATTGCCTTTTGAGCTTTCGAATGTATCTTTCCTTGTCCAGAAAAGCTTGATGTGACGATTGTGAGCGGTTCTGTCATGGCCGAAGGATGATTGGGCGTTCACATGCGGATCCAGGAGCCATGGAAAAGTTTGTCTATTTCTAACAAAACATCTCTTTTATGTACTTTTGGAGAGTAATTTTGAAAAAATGTTGTTTTCAAAATTTGCGGAACGTCTACAGTCTTGCAAACAAATTTTCTCTGAAAAAAACTCTGAGAAACTTTATCTCATAGGCGCTTTTATCGTTTAGCAATTTTTGGGAGATCGGATTTGTTCAGCGTTTGCAAACTCTATCGAATGAGCTAAGACCAAAAGCATCTAGACACCAATTCCTACAAGTAACTTTTAACTGTATTTTTGCCGGTCCTCTGTTTAAATTATTTTTGGAAACTTTGTGTTTAACACGTTGCGGGGAAGGAAATCAAATTTTGATGAAATCTAGACCATAAAATCCACGCTCTTTTTGAGTATAGAAGCAAACTTAATGTCTAAAATTGACTTTCCTGCCGCTAAAATATTCGATCACCTCGAAACAGGAATAATCGCGAATTGTAATGAAAAGCGGAGCTATTTTTTTATCAAAATCGGAACATTGTCTCCACTTTAAAGTTAAACTTTAGTTGCTCGACAAGGACAAGCTGCACATTCGTCGATGATGGCGCGAAATGTCGTCTCGGCAAGCGAATTTCCGGTAGTTTTTATGAGTTTGCTCATTCTCTTATTTAGATGGAAGGAAAACTGATATTTTCCCGATATCCTATCGATTCCTGCCTAAAGAGGTAATTTTTCCGTTTTGTGACTTTACTATGTTCTTTATAGGCGCGTTTTTCGACGATGAAGCCTTGATATGTGTTCTTCCTTCCTATCAAGGTTTGGTATATCGGTTTTTCGACATGGTGACTGTGAACTTTAGGTCCTTGACCGACGTTTTTACGGCGTCAAAACGTTGCGCAAGTGAAGGTCAATGGTACAGGTAGGGTTTCAGATGACTGGCCATGAAAAGGTACGCGTTTTCATGATTTTTTTTACAAAGTTTTGGTATATTAAAGTGGATTTTGCTATTGTATTTTATATTATAGAATATTAGACAATAAATCACTAATTATGCGTGTAATTACAATGTATATTTAACCAGTATATTCCCACCAAGGGAATATACTGGATGGGCACCCACCGTGGTGCCACCGATCACCCTCCATGGTGTCACCGAAACACCCACCATGGTATCACCGCCAGTGACACTGTTTACGGAAGGGGTAGAGACACCATGGTGCCGATTCTCGGTGACACAATGGTGACATGGTCAACTGAGTACTATCGTAGTTCTTCAACAAAATTCTTTCCTTTTTCTTTATATTCTAAAGTTTTCTAGACGTATTTAATTCCGCACTGCTTTCTTGCTCGAAATTGAAATTTGTAAGGCGATCAAGCCTATCGGTAAAAACGAGGGTTTTTCTTTTGGCAACAGTTTTATTCAACAAATAACAGGTGAAAAGCAATAACAACGTGATAACAATTATGGCCATTCATTCAGGGTTCTTTTTTATCAGGTTTTCGCCGAGTTCGGTGAGTCGCGTAGCCAATTCGCGAGCAATCGGAATGTAGACTTCGCAATGCTTCTCAAATTCGTCCGCCGCCGTGTCGATCGTGGTAACGATGTCCTTGGCGTCTTGGTATTGTGTGCACTTTTTGACTTCTACCAGCCGTTCCTTTCCAGCGATCAGCACCTTTTCCACGGCCTCGTCGATATTTCGGTGAAGGTATTTTAGGTTTCCATGGAGTCCCTGCAGAGTCTCCGTGTATCGCTCATCGTTCTGCTTCTCCAATTGATCGAGCTCGATGCCAAGAAGTTTGACGACGGAATGTTGACGGTGAGAATCGAAGAAACAATTTCCACAAACGATCGTCGTACAGTCATCGCATTTGAAGAGGCGTTCCACGGAATACTCGACGCCACAATCTCCACATCCTTTCAAAGCACCGCTACGTCGGTCCTCCTCCTTCTTCGCATCAATGGCTTCCAACTTCTTCGTCAGTTGCTTGATCTCGTCTTCCTTCGCAGCCAGTTCCTCCTTGAATTCGTCGAAATTCTTGGCGCGAACGAGTCGTGGCTGACCGTTAAACTTCGCCAGAAACGTGTCTTTAAAAGGAGGTAGCGCACGATCAGGCCTGATCCCGCAATCCAAACAGGATGCCTCCGGTCTTTCGATACATCCTTTGCAGAAATAATGGCCACATTCGACGCGGTAAATCGCCTCGCCACTCCAGTACGATATAGCTTGAGAGCACGAGATGCACTCGGGGCTGTTGAGGGGCAGGTTGTATCCGTATCCACCGTGTTGCTTCGTGAAGTGGTCCGGCCCGGTGAGGTATGAGATTAGACCCTCCTGTGCGATACTCATCGGATCCTTGTCGCAAACGCGGCATCGAATCAGCTTCGAACGTGGCCCGGCGACCGGAAAGCGACGATCCTGATCGAATGGCAGCTTGCAATCCGGGCAGTTGAAGTAGGTGGTGAAGAGCATTGAACGCCTGGAATTGAGCGATTAATAGGGGGAAATTTGAAGTCAGAGAGCGAAGAGAAAACGTTTTCTTCAGCATTTTCGGTGAGCGGGTCCGAATCTATCGCGAGACTTTAACTTTTCTAATGGAATAAGGCAAACGTGTTGCCAAGCGGTTTTTTTGCGGTGGTTAAACCTTAAAAACATGCAAAAATCTACCACCAAAAAGTCCCGATTTTCCATGAAATTTTAGATTTTTAAACGATTTTCAAAGATTTCCGAGCGGGTTTTCGTACTTCAAAGATTGGGGAAACGGTTATTAAAATATTTGCTATGTCGCGGCTAAAGATACCTGGATTTATCGAAAAAAAGCCGCCACGGAAATACTAAAAAGCGAGATACAAAATTCGGTGTAAAGCCTTTAATATTCTAAATGAATTTCCTTTCCGTGGCTGGGCATCAAACTTTCCTGAAAATTTTCCAGCCAAAATTTTCGCGCTATCTTCTCTTGTAGCCTTCGCGATGCGGAGGCCCTAAAAAAGGCCGTGAACACATCGATTAGGATTTAAATGATTAAAAGATCCGTTTAATAGTGGTTTACCACCAAATACACTCGTACATTTGTAGTAGTCTCTTGGATTCTTGGATAATTATAACAAGAAGTTTTTCATCGTTGCCCGGCCGATTTCACTGCCCAAAATAGGTTTTCAATTCTAACAAAAAGAAATTTGGGTCGAGGAGCTTCATCACCACCGTGCGCTTTTCCAAACCCCGATTTTTGTTGGTGTTTTCGCGTTTGGTGGTTTATTTTTCGTGGGGGCTTCTCATCCTCCTGCTGTGGCCATTACCTGATCCTCCTCCTCCTTCCCCTCCTCTCAATCTCCAATAGCAGTTGTTCATTTCGGAAAGAGGCGGGCAAAGTGGGCAGGGATCTGCACCCATTCCATTCCATTCCTACTTCCATCATGCAACCATCCTCTATATTTATTTTTGGGTTATTATTGGCCGGGTGAGTCGCGCGTAGTTTTCAATGATTTAGTGAAAAATCACTTTAAAAGCTATAAACGATTAATGTATTGATTTTATGGGTTGATTTTTGGAATTTTCACTAGATTTTTTTACTTTATAACGGTGTCTCAGACTTTGAAAAGTAACGTAGAACGATCATTTTTGGTAAAATTTAACGATTTTTCGATCATTTTTCGAGGTAACAATTCGCTAATTTATTGATCCCTTCATGTGCTAGGTTAATTTTTGTGAATTTTACGGGAATTCTGACTCTACGCGGCTTTCGAGACTTTCTAAAGTATCAAAAACTCTTTTTCATCAAATATTAATTATTTTGCTATCATTATCGAGGCAAAAAGTTGATAATAAATTTATCCATCGATTTTTTAGAGTAATTTTATGAATTTTACTAGAATTCTGACTATACAGCGGGTCTTGATACTTTTAAAAGTATTAAAAATCATCTTTTTGACGGAATTGTATGATTTTCCAGCCCAAAATTGAGGTAAAAACCCGCAGCAAACCTAGCTATAGCAAGAATTTTTACAATTTTGACGATTTTATATTTTTAGGGCTTGCGCCCAGCAAAACGGAGCCCACACCCGTCGTGAAGGCGTCGTCCGCCAGGCCGTCGAGCGCATTTTGAGCAACAGCCATTATGATGCTTCACAGCGACCTCCGATCAAGAGTGGCCCGTCTTCTGCCGTCCCGGTCATCGTTTCGGTCTTTTGAACCGAATTGTTTGGCACGATGAGTACGCGGTAAGCATTTTGTATCTATTTTCACATGTTGTAGGGTTTCCATAGTCCTTAGGCCGCTAAAAACGTTAGTGCAAGCCCCTAGTGGTGAAATATCGACTTTTTGGCTCGTTTTAAGCTTTTGAAATCCGCGTTCATAAAGAAAACGCTTAAAAAAGGGTACAAAGTCTAGAAAGTACTTTTTGTAAAGTTTTACCTAGCATTTAGGCCGCAAATAACGTTAGGAGGCAGTTTTAGCGCTGGAAATAGCGACTTCTAGACGATTTCAAGCATTAGAAATCCTTTCTTATCTAAAAAAAACTGGCGAAAAGAAACCGAAAACGTTCAGGAAGTCGACCTGCGGCTCCGCGAGCAATGGGAGGACAGCCGGCTGGCTTATGAGGTTGACCCGAGGGAGGCCATTGATGAGGTTGGAATTATAGGCAGTTGAAGTTTATTAAAAACTAGCTTTTAAAGGGATAATGGTTGCAAAACAAGCCAATTTCTTGAACTGCAACTAGCGCATCAGCTAAAAGTTTGTAGCGTAGCGCCTCGTACTCGAATTTAAGACATTTTCCTAATATTTTCACCTTAGAGAGTTAGAAAACGGATTATCCCCTATTTATCAACCATTTCCGTTCGCCTCCGCTGTTTCTTCCATGGGGGCATGGAAAAGGAAGACGATTCCCCCGCAAGAGGGCCCAACAGGCTAGTTGTGTAAAGCCGAGGGGGAGAAGCTGTGTAGAAAAGAGACAAAAAAGAGCGGCAAACCACTGGCTCTCTCTCATTCTGCTAAACACTAAAAGGACAGCCAAAAGGGATGGAATAGCCAATGCCAAACAGGCGACACCCCCGGCCAGCGGCTCATAAATGCCCTCTTCACCAGGGGATGGGGTGTTGGAAATTATTTTATGGCCTGGGCAGGCTAGCATGGATGCTTTAGGAATTAACCATTTGTCAAATTTGGCCAGAAAAATCGTGGAAACCTAGATTTTCAGATTACCCTCCCCGGCAGCAAGCAAATCTGGACGCCCGGCACCTATTTCAGCAATGCAAAGGAGAAGGCAAAAGCTTCATGCGTTTTTAGACTTTTTATAGGCAAATGATGCTGTGGCGAGAGGCCGGACTCTTGTGGAGCCCTCGGGATTCGTTCGCGCGTCTACTGGGTAATTTTTAGAGCAGAAATCAGCTTTTTTTTTTGACGTTTTCTAGACTTAATTTTCTCAAAATTTAGGTTTAAGACCTTAAAAACAATCAGTACAATTTATTTTTGAACTGAAAGGGAACGTTAAGCGCAATCTCACAAGCTACGTTTAAAGTCCGATTAAAAACGTGGGAGCGCTAAATTAAACTAAAACTAGGCCTTTCGGCTGTTTTACAAACTGATTTTGTAAACCGCTAAAAAACGCTCTGAAAAATGACTTTTTCATCTGCTCGATTTACAGGATGCTTGACACGATTTTGAAAGTTTTTAGTAACTAAATTGTTGTAAAAAAGCCATTTTTAGCTTATCTACATATAATTTTGTAAAAAATATGCGCTAAAAGGCTTAGAAACAAGGATTTACACGTTTTCGAACGGTTTTTAGCTAAATTAAAACATTTTAAAGCGTAATTTAGTGTAAAATAGCGATTTTATACCTTAAAACTAATAAAATGCCTTTTCAGACGTACAATCTACGTGCCCGTCTCCCACGGCGCCTCATTCCCATTCCTCAACCGGCGCACATTCAAGCTCAGGCTGTCTAGCTGTAAAAAATTGTATTCATCGATCTAATTTTTGTATTTTATAGTCAACTACCCGATCGAGGACGTGATCTACGTGTGGGCAAACTCACCGCCGCTTGTTGTCCCGGTTGAGGTGGGTTAAAAATGATTCAAAATCTAGATTTTCCATTTTTTAGGTTGCCGACGATTTGATGGAGGGCACCGTCAAGTTCGAGAAGGTTGCCGCCGGGGATTGCATTGGAAACTATACCTTTGGTGGGTTCAAATAAAGCATTATATCTATAGAAAACTATAGAAAACCAGGAAATCAATAAATTAAAATAATTTTTTCAGGCTCGTACCCGTGCATCGACGTGGACATCACCTTTTCCTCCTCCACGTTCAGCAGTTTTGCGCGCGTCTTTTTGCCCAGTATTTTGCTGGTGGGTTTATTCTCTTATTTAGCGCTTTTCTACTGTAATTTAAGTTAGAAAGTCGCTATTTATAATTTATAAGCAATAATAATTTATAACATGTTTGCAGGGTTTTTAAACAAATTTCATCATTTTTCGCGGCTTTGGGGGGGTAAAAAACCCTGAAAAAGTCGTTAAAAACTGTAATAAAAGTCATAACCAAGTATACAACCCATATCTGAAAGATACAGCTAAAAAATACTATTTTTTTTAGGTAATTGCCTCATGGCTGCATTTCTGGATCCACGGCTCGTGGTCGGTGCCAAGGACCGTTTCCGCTGCCGCTCCTTTCCTTATTTTTGCCGCGCTTTTCGTAAGTTTTCTGCGTTTGTAGTCTATAGTATATACTCTATAGTTTCCAGCAATTTTTTATAGAAAAACGTTAAAACCCCAATTTTCCAGCTTTTCGGCGGTTCCGCCCTTCCATCCAGCGTGCCATCCCTGTGGTGTTGGCTATCGTTCTGTCTGCTGCTCTCGTTCCTCTCGCTGTTTGAGTATTTCCTCGTCATTTTGTGCGGAATTAGGAGGTGGGTTTTATTAAATTTTATAAGATATAGATAGGTTTTATAAAAAGCAAGCAAATCAGTTTTAAAAAACTCTTATTTTGGTAAAAAAGAGAATTTTCCATCTCCAAATCCATTAATTTAAGACCAGTTACGGCATGAAATCGACCGCACACCTTTATCCTACTACCAGGGTTGAAAAACCGCTTCGCGGCTTTTCAACCCTGGCCCCGTCTAGGATTTATGACACTTTGCATAATTCTTGCCGAAAACCGATGACCAAAAAATGAAAACCACGCCCTCCCTTCCTTTTTATAAGCCATTTCCACTTCCGGCGTATGCTAATTTTTCCCTAACAAAGAGGGAAGCCGATATTTTTACAAAAACCTAATTTTAATAGCGAAAATAGCATTTTTTCAAAGATTTTATGTGTGTGCAGTCGATTCCAGCCCCTTCTTTATCCTATGACGTTTCTTCCCTACCGAAAAAATGCTTCCCTGAGCCTGTAGGTGCGGTACATCCAAACGGAAGTGCATGCAAATATACACACACACAAACACTATTTTTTTATATAAAAAGGATATATAAGGATATATAAAAAAATAGTGTTTGTGTGTGTGTGTGTGTGCATTTGCATGCAACTTCCGTCAGGGTGTTCCAGTAGTATCTCAATAAGGGGGTCAGTTAGGGTCATGTATTATACGTCATTAGGTGCGTAATGGCCCTGGAATGACTGCACAATAACAAAATTTTGAAAAATTAGCTGTTTTCGACGTTAAAATTAAGTTTTTGTTGAAAAAATCCAGGACCCTCTTTGTTAGGAAACAATTAGCATACGTCGGATGTTGAGGTTGCCTATATAAGGGAAGAGGGGTAGCGTCTCTCATTTTTTGTCATAGAAAATCGCTAGAATTATGCAAAGTGACGAATATCATGGGATCAGACGGGGCCAGGGTTGAAAAGTCGCGAAGCGGCTTTTCAACCCTGGTAGTTGCTTTAAAACGTTTCAAAATATAGAAAGGATTAAAAATAACCTAATTAGTATGCTTAAAGTTTCAAAAACTTTTAAAAGGCTGATTTTTATGACGAATTCCTTTAGTAAGCTGCGTAAAATATTAAACTAATATAAATAATGTATATTTATCGATTTTCAGAAACATCCGGTACGCTGCCGGTCGGGCCGGCTCGGCGGCTGACGATAGCCCGCTCACCCCGCATGGAAATCAGGTAAATTCGGGCCCGAAATTCGAATTAAAGGGTAGATAACGCAATCTACGACAATTTTCCGCTTTAAAAAATTAAAAATGACATTGACAGACGCTGGAAGTGGTCTACGATGGAAAATGCGCCTCGTTCCGCGAGAACAACGCCCTCGACGTCATCTCGCGCATCCTGTTCCCAGTTCTATTCCTCGTCTGGTGCCTTTTGTACTTTTTCGTCTTGTAAATAATCGATTGGAGCCTCGGAAAGAAGAATTTGTAGTTTGTAGCCCGCTTCAGCGGCAGAAAATATGTGGATAAATATTTTAATTTTGAATGGGTGGAGAATGCGTCTATTTTGAGCAATAGAAGCCCTGAAACTGGGCAGGCTGGCGGCGGTTCTTTGCGGAAAAAGCTACGTTGAGCTTTAATTTAAGCCAATTTTGTACAAGGGGCAAGCCAGCAGTGATCCTCTGCGGAAAGTCAGCTGCTGGACCCGATTTTAAGCAGTTTTCGCGGTCCAGGGGCAAACTAGCAGTGATTTTTGGGCGGAATAAACGGACAGTGACTATTTCTCACCGCTGGGCAAGCTAGCAGAGATTTTTAGAATTTTTTAGCCGTTTTGAAAAAATTTTTTAGGAGTTTTTCGGCAGTTTTTTGCTTGCCTGCCCCTTTAAAAAGCTAAAAACCTCCTCACCTCGATTTTTTCGATCTTATCTTCCAAATTGGCATACCCTGACACCTTCCCAGATTCCTCGCCCATTCGCGCTAGCTAGCTGCTGACCCCGTGGGGCCATTTTACGACCCGCGGTTACGCAACAAATGCCATCCTGTGTGGCCCACAACGGCATTGCACAGAGATCGAGGGGTTGTATTCTTGATTTTGGTATTATCAGTGTCGTAGAGGTTCCTAAAGGATCTTTGCTAGCATGCCCTAATTTTCCCAATTTTCCGCAAATAATGCCTGCTTGCAGCCCTCTAGAAATTTCGCAGGGACTTTCCCAATTTTCTTCAAGCATCACTGCCAGCTTGGTGAAAATTCCAAAATGATCTCTGCTAGCTTGCCCGCGACGAGATTACTCCAATTCCACCTTTCCCAAGCCCCAAAAAGTAATCCAAATACGGGGATCGCAGCCGGGGAGAAAGACATTAGAAAACGAGGTCGCTGAATATTTGTTTATACGTGGGCCTATTTCTCTCTCTCTCTCTCTCTCTCTCTCTCTCTCTCTCTCTCTCTCTCTCTCCAAATCCAACGGTTTCCACCGCAATACTTTATACGAGCCCCAGTACAGGGTATTCCCTCGGAATTCGTCTCAAGTAGCTCTCCACCCACTTGACATCAATAAAAAGGGGTGGTGGCGAGACGATACTCTGGCAAAAACACGCCCGGGATTTGACGATCCGTTTCTCAGGGTAGTCAAATTAACGGGAAAGGAATTTCTTGTTTTCGGACTGTCAATTTACTAAAAAATGGGTTGGCCTCAGTTTTCTTTCAGATTTCAGGGTCTTAAAAAGCAAAAAATCACAATAAAGCCGCTTTTAACGCATTTTCAGCAATAAAAATTGACAAAAACTCAATTACGCTATGTGTTTCCGTGGTCTACGCCTTCAGTCGACCTTGGCATATAGCTTCCAGCCATATTTTCGATCCAATTTTGTGCCCCCGCTTCGATTGGATCCACTTGGGTGATGATCAGTTTTGGATTCGCAATGGATCCTCTCGTTCCATCCCCCCACCCTTTCTGTTCATATTTTAGGGAAAGTGCCGTGAGAATCGGGGGGAAGAGATTGTTTGACCCCATTTATTCCATTCCACTCCGTTTGTCTGTCTCGACTGTCTAACTGTATCTCTGTCTCTCTCTCTCTCTCACTCTCTCTCTCGCTCTCTCTCTCCCGCATATTGCCCCCCTTTTCGGGATTCGCAAATAAGCTTCAGCCCCGCCAGCTTTCTCATCTATGGTTTTCTAGACATTATTTGTTGTCCATTTCTGGTCGATTATTCAAGGGAGCTCGCCGCTAAAAACTTTCATGGGACGCGAAAGTCATTACTGTGGTTTTTTGGTCACCGAATTCTGATGAAATTTGTCGCCGCCACATCCCGCAACGCTTCCGCTTTCTGTTGCATTGCTTACCAACCTTTTTTCATTCCCGAGTCGCATACGCATTGCGTATCGCGGCTGCGTTGAAATTTTTGGCACTAAAAGCTAAAAATCAGGCTTTTTTTCTATGATATTGATTTTTTGGATTTTTTGTTTGTTTTAGGAGTGGTTTTTTATTTTTAATATCGTTTTAGCCTATGCTACTCCGGATATCATTATTCCTGCTTTTCGCTATTTTCTTAAATCAAGCAACCGCACGGGTGGTCCGGCGACAGGTAAGTTTATGATGATTTTTTTTGGTTGGAAAAACCGGTGTGACCTCCTAATCCAGCAAAAAAATCATACCCCGAACTTTTTTAGGCAGACCCCGATGAGGGTGAACTCCATTCTGACCACGTATTCCGCGCCGAGGAAATAATCGATTTGCCGGTGGGGCGATTTCCGGATCCGGAATGTCAGTATACCGTCCGGCATAGGGCTCCTGACGGGCCGCCGGCGCATGGGTATGCGTTAGAATACTTTAAAAGTACTTTTTTTGATTCTTGAAAACAATACGTTTTAATTTCGATTTTACCCATTACGGCATGCAATTAATATCCGGTTGCCCGATTCAAAAATATATTTTTTAGAAAATAGTACGATATATAAGTTTCTAAATTTAACGCGCGTATTACTTTTCTTTTTGTATTTTTGTCAATTTTCTTAGAGAAAATTTTGTAAATTGGGAAATAAATAATCACATATTTTTAGCTAAATTCGATTTCGTCAAGAAATTTCCCGTAATTTCTCGTGACCAAAAATAGATTTCTAATAAAATGTCTTTTTTTTTAATTTAATCTGTTTACACCATAATATCGATGGTATATTTTTATTATTTTTACAGCCGATTTTAATATTGGAATTAAAGCGTATATTTCAATTTAATTCGATTACGCCATAAAATTCCTCGTAGTCTAGGCTCTTTAAAAAAGTGAAAAGAATATATAAACTATTTTTAATGCCGTAAGATCCAAATTTTCGTATTTTTCAGCGACGTCCGTATCGGCGACCCGTTATGGCATGAATGGAGTTGTAGCTATGGTCCTCTGGCCTCTTCAATGTACTGTATGATTGTCAACAATTGTACGGTAGCTGAAAATCGACGAGCATCCTATAAGGTATCGTAATCTGTTAGATACTGTATTTTAACGCACCTTTAGGTGCCAATTCTCGATGAATTCGGCTGCTCTTTATTTCCGACAATTCTGCCCCACGTACAGTATACCAACGATCTCGCGGCAAATTTACCAGTTCATGCGTTTAGTTTGGATATTGATAAGGTGGGCAAGCTAGCAAAGACTCTTGGGAAAACGGGTTTTTGGAGTCTTGGAGAGCATTTCCTAGCTGAGCAATCTAGCTGAGCTATTTAAGGAGTTGAAAACCGCTTTTTTGGCAACGGCCCGCACGGGCAAGCTAGCAGAGATCACTGAAAAATCGGGTTTTCTCGGCGAGATTGTCGTTTTTTATGGATTTCAGAGCCATTTCTAGCCCGGGCAAGCTAGCGGCGATTATTTAGGATAGCGATCTCGACAGGAAAAATGCAAAAATCAAATTAAAATTTAGGCAGCCGTCTTCTTCGAGTGCAACATCAAGCTGCTGCTGAAGTTGAACGGCGTTTGCCGGAGGCCAAGCTGCGTTCCCATTGAGAAATTTCGAGAGGGAGTTGGGGCGCTTTAAAGGGGCATTGAAGGCTGGAATCCATAAGAAGTCTCTTAAAAATTTATGACCGTTTTAATCCGTATCTGCACTCTGTTCTACCGTGATATTTACCTTCAATGGCCCTTTAAAAGGGTTCAAAAGCTGTTTAAATATAAGCTGCGATCGGCCAAAGTTTGCCCCATCTTTCCCAAATACAACAAAGAGGATTCAACCCCCCCCAAAGCTGCCCAAACTCTGCCTTCAATGGCCCTTTAGCCCCGCCCATTATTCAGATTTTGCCGATTCAAATGTAATCACTATTTTTGTATTCAATTTTGATGCTTACGGGTTTCCATCATGCTCATTTCTCCCTCCAAAAAATCATGCACAGAATTGTTTTGTGGATTGAATTGTGTGTAAAATGCAATAAAATTGTAAAAATACAACAACACGAAATAGCGCTCTCTCTCTCTCTCTCTCTCTCTCTCTCTCTCCCCTGTCTCTCTCTCTCTGTCTCTCTGTTTCTTTTCCTCTCACTCGCTCCCTCTGTCTCTCTCTGTCTCTCTGTCTCTCTCTCTCTCTGTCGGTTTCTCTCTCTCTCGCACACTCGAATGCTCTCTTTTTCTATCGTCAGAAGCTCCAAAAACTCAGGATACATCATTACCCGAACAAAATCCAGGTTGATCGTCAATCGGCATAGAAGTGGAATGTGTTTTCAGTGTTTCCCCTTCCATTCTCTCTCTCTTGCCGGGATGCCCTCGGGCTATTCGTCGTATTTGCAAATGGACACCCATCCCCCTCTCTTCTCTCTTTTGACGGGTATTTTGACTGGAGGGCCCTCGATACGGTCCTCCCTCGTTGTCGTAGCGGGACTCTCGCCGTTTGTTTCCCTGTTTCACTCTTCAAATTTCGCATGTTCCCAGGCGAAGCATTTGAGTTGCCGACACCTTTAGAAGGATTCTACGGCTTTTTCTCGGTTTAAATCCTTTCCAAATTCTTAAATTGCCTTAGCCGATTATTCGGAGTTTTTCTGGCGCAACCAACCCTTTAAAAAATCGTCCGATCTCTTACTTGAGTCTTCATTACCCCTTCCATTGCGTAACGGATTACGCTCGAGAATCCGTAGCGCACAAACCCATCTGCATGCCTTCCCGGTCCCTTTAAAACGATGGATCACGTTTTGCTGGAGTTACTGCTCCCTTTAGAGTTACTTTTAGCCCATTGGCTGTGTTTCTCCGTGCGTCTAGAAGCCTCTCGCAGCCGTCGAGACCTAGTCACTGGAAGGGGTCGAGTCTCACGCTTTCCAGTCCCTTTAAAAAGCCCTATCTTGAAGCGTTTTGAGGCCGTCGGCATCTGAAAACCTGATGGGAGTGATTTTGCGCTGATGGACGCTTTTCAAGCGTCTCCATGAGCTCTCCATTTCTTGAGTTAGTTTGAAAGATTGTCTGTAATTGCTCAGTGCCTTTAAAGCTAATTTAACACTAGCACTTTCCCCCCGGGTCTTTAAATTTTTTCTATAATTCTTACAGTATTTCCTGCCCTCCGACTCTCCGCGATTTGTGATTTTTGACGTGTTCTGGTGCGTGGCGCAGGGGGGAATTCTTGGCCCCTGAAGGTGTCCCCCTCTCAAAGATGATGACGTGTAGTAGAGAGAGAGGGCCTCTCTGTCTGTCTGTCAGTACGTGTGTCTGTCTGTCTCTCCGTCTGTTTGTCTTCTTTTTGTCAATGTCCCTCTCTGTCCACCCTCTTACCCGGGACACATCCCCCCGATCCATGCGCTTTTCTTCCTATTCTTCTTCCACGGCATGCACAGTAGACAGCCGATCCCTCCCCGAATCGGTCATCGAAATCGAGAGCGTATCATTGTCTGGGAATCGCACATTTTCCCACAAAAATTGAAAATCGTCTACCGGAGTCGGAGCTTTAAATAGTCACAAATTTCTGTAGAGGTTTTTTGAGGGTCAGCGAACGCAGTTTTAAAGCTATCCTACCTAACTCGGCTTTTTTCCCGATATTAATTTATTCAATCCGATTTTTGTACATAGAAGTCGTGCGTCCTTCTTAGCAGTAGCACTGGGTTTAAAAAAAACAAAATATCTATTACAGTACCCACTTTAAAACCTTTAGAACAAATTGCCGAGCTCAAATTAATCAAATTGTTTTTGGAAGGGATAGGAAAAAAGGTTATTTTCATCCAGGTTTCTAAACCACAAGAAATTGGTCCAAAATCTGTCTTTTAAGTCTCTTAGACTCATGGGAATTCGCCCAAAAATGCCCGGGCGATTGGACTACGGGGGCTTCCATAAATCGAAAGCCCTTAACCGGGAATTTCTTGCTCACAAATCCTAGAAATTTCCCTGAAGTTCAAGGCTCAATTAAGAGTGTAGTCTTTAAAAAAGGAACAAGCCACACCCAAACTATCCAAACATTTGCACAACCCGAATTGATCCCCCTCGGGGGAATGAGACGGAATCCCCCACCCCTCGGGGGTCCCGGCTGGAATGTGGCCAAAAAATGCATGCGCTACACGGGGGAGGGAAGGGGTCTCTTCTAGAGGTCTATTTGTTGTCCTTCCTCGGGCCTGTTTTGCACCGTAATCCACAACGGAACGGGCGGAATGGAAGGCGGATTGGAACGGAAAAAGAAGAGCCGGCTTCCGTTTTTGGGCAAATTACACGGATTATCGTCTCTGCAAGGGGGAAGCGACCAAAGAATATGGCAATGCAAAAGTTCCGCGTGAATACTATAGACTAGAGCGTGTATTAAAGGGACATGTCAAAATCTATAACAGAATTCTCCAAATATCACTGCTAGTATGCCTGCTTTGACATATAAAAAGGTTTAGCTAAAAAGGATCCACATTAAAGGAATTAGCACGTCAAAATCTTACAGGAATCGGTAGTCTTCAGGGTATTTCATCAAGAATCACTGCTAGCTCACTTGCTGCGGTTAGATACGTTGTTCCACTCACAAACTAGGAATAAAATCAACGTTTTAAAGGTGCTGGCAAGTCAGAAATTGACGCCATTTCATTTTTTAGCCAAATTCCATCGGAATTACGCCATCTAAGGTTACTGCAACATTTAGAGAACGTATATTTTGACATTTTTCTAGCATTAAAAATACTGGAAAGTCAAATTTTTACGCACCAAAATTTTCACCAAAATTTTTCAACAAAATTTGAGAGGTTTTGTTGATCTGGTTTTCCAGCTGAACGTTCCGGGTTTTGCCATCCCCCGCAAATTCGGTACTTCCTGAGCTTTTCCCCATTCGCAAACTACTCTCCCACCAACCAGCCCGACCCCTGGTTGGGTGTAAATAGTTGTCGCGCGTCCAGATAGCACCCCGAGTAACCAGAGTCCCCTCTTTGTCAGCGGGCCCAGTTTTTTATGGGGCCTTTTTGCCGGTCAAAAGGCTAGAAGACCCGCTTTTTGCATGGTGTGAATGAGGAAAAAGAGGGTGGGAAGAAGAAGAAGAAGGTGGCTACGAGGGACTGCTATGGACACATTGGTGCTGATGATGATCGAGTGACTAGCAGATGGACAGGAAATAGCACAATCAAGGCGAGAGAAGTACTCAAGGTGGCAGATACTGGTAGATGATCAGATTCTACTTCTGTCTCTCTCTCTCTCTCTTCCTCTCTCTCTCTCTCTCTCTCTTGTTCTCTCGCCCTGTTACGCTCTTTCTCTCTCCCTTTATACAGTTTGAACCATTTTGAACTCCCTGGATGGGTGGCGACTTCAAGACGTTCAGCTCTTTCTCCCTAGCGCTCTTTCACGCGCTCCCTTTCGCTTTCTTTCTCTCGCCGGCACTATCTATCTCAGTCTATCTATTTACACTGGATTGCGATACTTTGAAGGACTCGATCTGAAAAAATTGACGACGACTTCAGGACTTTCAAGCTCACAGCTTTCTATCTCCATCTCTCTCTCTCTCTCTCTCTCTCTCTCTCTCTCTCGCTATCTCCTCCCTGCTAACACCATCAGAACACCCATCAGCAATGCTTCTTCTTGACGACACGCGCCCCCTGTTTGCACCCGGTCCACAAGAAAGGGCCGGCCCGCCATCTGTTCTGAATGCTTTCTCGGCTTCCGGTCGGTCCTTTCAAGTGATACACAACGGATGGCATGGATGGACACAACATGAAGAAGCCCCTGAACTTATGCCAATGGACGTGACAATACAAGGGACACCGGTCGAATATAGGTGGAACAGTAGCGACTGGAAATACTGTGCAAGAACGATACGGTATACGGTAGATAGGGGGTGAAATAGAATCACAAGATGGTTGAAGCAAGCTGAGTTCCGGTAAACAATATCCAGCAGAACAGCGCGTTATAGTGTAGTTCTTGATTTCAACTACGTTACGCTCCTCATAACGAGTCGGCTATACGGCTAACCAAAAAGGGTAAAACCTTTGCTGTCCAAAACGTAGACATTAACATACTCTCCCGGAGAACTGCATAAATACGTAATTTGTACCGCAGCGTTGTCTTTAATCTGGACTACGCTACAATCCTAAAAACGTTGGATTGTTATTCATTTTTTGGCAAACCTTGCCGGCCACAGAACTTGCTCGCAAACACGGAAATTCCGCATATTTACCCTTAACACATCGACACACAAGGGCCGACGATGCCCTCAAGAATGCCGACAATCATGGCACTCGACCCTCCTCAGCCTGATGCTGATGATGGAGATGACCTGATGATTGTGATTCATTCTGGAGACAGGACACGCTCTCTCTTTCTCTCTCTCTCTCTCTCTCTCTCTCTCTCGCTCTCTCTCAGTCTACTGCCCTCCCCGCCCCCCTGTTAGAAGAAGCATAAATGCGTGTCCCCCATCCACCGCTTCCGCCCCTTTCCGTGTGCCGTGCCCGCTAGTTGAAGAAGCAGCTGGGGCACCGGTGTGCGCACTCATTGCTGTGGCAAGAACAGCTACTGTCGTTTGCTGACCTGTCGGTTCCTTTGAACTGTACGGCACCTCCGAAGACTTTGAATTTATTGGCGTTTAAGGCTCGGTTTTACCAATTTTTCTACACTTTCGGATTTTTTTGAATTGTGAACGGGCTACCATTAATGCTCGATACGGAGACTCTGTTTTAATAGATTTTCTCGATCCTTCTAGCGTTTAAGCAAAGCCAATTTGCATAGTATATATGTTTTTGCCTATTTTTTTACGCCGCTATATGAGCAGTTTTATTTAGTTTTTGAAATCTCAAATTTATTCAGGAATTTTTCTAATAATTTTGAGCTCGTTTCAAATTTTTCAAATTTGTGCGATTTTTTCATGAAATACGACGCCGAAAAAGCAACAAAACTCGTTATTTTCCCGGTTCCCAGAATCCCTGAATATCGGGTCATGCTGATCGTCGATCTGAAATATGGTGTCCCCGCTTGGGGTGTCACTTTTTGACGGTAGGCAAACTCGGGGCGTCACACGCCCGAGCCCCCATCCCGAGATCTTCGGATGGCCCAATCGCGTGTGCACGTTGTATACGTTGCATTGCGTATGGAAAAATGGCTGGCTACGTATGGCTTTCATGCTTTGCAACATTCGGATTTTCGCGGTCGCTCTCTCTCTCACGCTCTCTTCACTCTCTCTCTCTCTCTCTCTCTCGCGCTCTCTCTCTCCACAATGCGCTTTCTTTTTTTCTCGCTCTCACGCTTTCTGGATAAATCTCACTCGCTTCGGCTTGATTTTTCAATACTTTCTCTCGTTCTCTCTTTATCGCTCTCCCGCTCTCTCTCTCTCATTTTGAAAATTTCCCGATTTTCTGACAATTTGCCCCTCCTTACAGTACCCTCTCTCATTTCAGATGCCTCGTCTCTCCCTCGTCTGCTCCCTCCTCCTTCTTCTTGTCCCTCTCTCCTCAGCTGGTGGATTCTGTCCGTCATGTGCCCTAAAGGCCCTCGGACTCACTGACTCTATTTTCACAAATAATCAGCAGAACAATAACAATGACGACAATAATAGGCACGTTTTTTGGGGGTTTGGCAAGCTAGCAGAGATTCTTGAGGATTTTTGGTGGGTAGCAGAGACAATTAGGGAACCAAGGATCGTCTAGAAAAACATGAGCTGAAGCTTTAGCAGGGGGCAAGCTAGCCAATACCCTTTGGGAAATCTTAAGACCTTGAGTCTAGCATAAATCGTTTGGTAAGGGGTAGCGGAGGTTTTTTGGGATTTTTAGCCTTTCCGACCCCTTTAAGCCATAGATTTCAGATTCTTCTCACGGTCGATGGACACGAGCAACCTCTTTAACGGAGACCCACAGTCTTTTGGGACAAACCTGGGAAAGCAGATTGCACAGAGGATCATGCAGGTATGTTTCCTGTGCTTCTCTCTCACTTTCTCTCTCTCTCACTCTATCACTCTCTCCCCTTTAAGGCGTACGAGGGTAATTCCGGCCAAATGGGCAGCCAGCCGATCGTCGTGAACTCGATGTCGTCGTTCCCTTCAGCTGATATGCCGAGGTAACCCCAAAAAATCAACATTTTCACTTTCGATGCTTATTTTCATGCCTAATAGCCGTGGATGCATTAATGAGAGCTTTTAGGGCCAGAGAAAATACACAAAATACAAATACACAAATTTTACGTTCTTCTTGCCGAATTTATCGATTTTTATGGCCTTTATCGCGTCGTAAATGCATTATGCTATTCCTCGCTTTATTTGCCGGCCATTTGCATGCTGAATTTTGCACTTTGCACATCCCCGTACCGTACCCACCTACCGTAGCTCAACCGGCAACAACACCGGCCCGGCGAAGATCATCAAAGTCGAGGAGGGCGGCAAGAAGGAGGAGACGCAGAGAAAGGAAGACACCCCAGCCAATACCGGCAAAAGGCATGCTTTTTGTTTTTTGAGTCGCTTTTTCTGTTCTGTGCACGCCGAGCACTTTTTTTGGTAGCTTTCAAAATCCATTTTTGACGTCTGTACGTACGTGTATACGGCTTACGCTTGTACGAGCGTCAGCTAGCGTACATGCAAACCTATGACTTTGGTTTCTGTATGCTTTCACTGTAGCTTGCAGCCTTTTGTTTGCTTTTGGTTATGGTAATATTTGATTTGCTTCACTATCGGGCGGCTTTCAAGCTTTTAAAGGGATTGTGAAGGCAGTATCTATGGGTTTTTCGTAATTTTTTCAGCTTTATTTGCTTGAAAATGCTTGCATTTATAATTTACGCTAATTTAAGTGACAAACATCACATTATTTTGCCGGCTTTGCGCGTTTTCTAAATGTTGTTAGGCTTTTTATAGAATTTTAAACGATTTCAGAACTATTTTTTTGCCAATTAAACATTAAACTTTTTTAACCTTCCAAATTTTAGAGTTTTGGGCTTCCACTTATTTGAAACTTCAAATAAAGGATGTTCCTTATGGAATAGATAATTTTTAGAGCTTTTAGTGAGTTTTCTAGCAATTTTTGATAGATTTGCTAGACCAAAAAGAAAACACGGAAAAAGAACTTTAACGTTTTAAGCCTGTTAGTTGGTTAAATTAAATTATATAATCTTTTTATTAAATTTTAGCACATTCACCAACAACAACAACAACAATGGCGGCTCGTTCGACGCCAGCGAGTTTGCCCGGAAATTCCGCGACCAATTCCTGAGCGGACCGAGGAATGGATTCGGAGGAATGAGCAATGGTAAGCTACAAACTACAAAATTAGCCAAAAAAAAAAACTATGAAAACCTAGGCAAACTAGCAGAGATCATTGAGGAAATTCGAATTTTCAGCAAACAACTACAACAACAACAACCAAATGCCGCCCGCCTTCAGCTCGCAGCCAAACAAGGGCAAATGCCCCTACTGCTTCGGCAACAACTTCAAGAAGGCCAAGCGAAGGGTCTAAATTAATTTCCTATTGATATTCTGTATCTAGAATTGTTATTTATACCCCCAGCAATAATTAATATTTATTTCCGTAGGCCTTGAAAAAGAAAAGCAAGAAGAAATCCCAGGTACCGGTGTGACTTTCAGCTTCAAAAGCTCCCCATCGTCGTCTTTCAAAACGCACAAAATGTTCACTATTTATGATTGTTAAATTATCAATTCCGTCGTGTTTTATTTACCAGCTTGGGCGATGGTTTCAATGTAATAAATTGTTTATTTAAATTTACTACAGGCAGAATGAACAAAATAAAGACTTAAAAGCACATCTACACAAAATAAACTTTAATAACACAAACAAAAACTTTTTTTAAAATCCTTTTTTTACCTTTTTTGGGGTGGTTTCGGCCCCCTTCCTCCTCTTTAAGATCGGAACGCCTTCAGAATGAAGCAACAAAGCTTGAAACGGCATTCACGTGTGAAAATTCATTTTTTTACAGTCGCCTCTCTTCTTAGTTAGGGTATTTATTGAGTCTTATGTATTTTCAAGGCTTCAACGCCTCTTTAATGAAACTGTGGCCTCTTGCTAACCCGTGCCCCAACCACCGTACCCCGTATCTGTGGAGTGTTAGAGCGACCTCGATCGGCCGACCGGGACACTCCCCAATCCAACGGCCAGCCAGACACCCACAACACCCTTCTTTTGAACTGGAATTCTTCTAATGAGCTTTTTTGAATTCTTCTATTTCTATGTTCTTTGAAATGTAAAGAGATTAGGCCTTGCAAATGGGCGAATTTGGCCTGGATTTTGAAGACGTTAAAAAGGACAGAAAAACGATAAATCTTGAGGTCGCATTTGAGCCTCAGAACCTTTTCTACAGCCGAAAAGCTCGGTTAACCTCGGTTTAATGTCTTGAAACATATATTAACTCTTGCGCTCGTTATTTACTTTCATTTCAGCTTGCGCGCATTTTCTTGTTGTGAGGGAAGACGTCGCAATTATTATGCTCCTGTCCTTCTCCTTCCATCGGCAAAGGTGTTGACAATAGCCGGTTGTTATGTGAATTGGATTGAATGTTTAAGAAATCTTAGCAACAATGAAATCGGATGTTTTGCTCAATATACCGGAAAAGGGTTATAGCAATCGCGAACACTCATTGTGCAGACTTATGGATATCAGACGCTCCATCTAATATGTTCTAATCTTTCCTCTTTCTATTATTTCCTATTATCTTCTCTTCCTATTACTCTGATCAACTAAAATACTTTACAAAGCATTTTCTTTTCAGATGGGTGATAAAAGCGCGTACAAGACGAACCTTCTCAACAAGGCGTCGATCTCGTACGACTACCTCCACACGAACAGGTAACATTTTTCAGCCAGTTTTGGGAATGCGTAATTTAGTACCACTCACGAGTTCGTCTTTGGTGCGATAGCTGAGCTCGTCGACAACTCCTACGATGCGGCCGCCAATTCGCTGCGCATTGATTGGGGTAAGGACATTTGAAGATTAATCACGAAGAAAATACATAGTTAAAGCGCACGTTCAGGGAGGGGCCGTGTACTCCCCAACGTGTACCCCTATGGACGTAGGGACCGCGCGCACTGCCTGCCCGTGCTGTGACAGGCTATTCCCCTCCTTTGCGGCGTCGGGCGCTTGCCCTCGCAGGTTGTAGCTGTGGCTGACTGGTATCCATCCGCCTCCCGAGCGGGGGCCGGGTTCGACCCCGGCCGCGGCAAATCTTTCTTTTTCCAAAAAACGTCTGAAGTGCCCTTTCCACTTTTTAGATCCGAACATCCAAGGGCTCTCTTTCCTTGACGATGGCTGCGGGATGACGCGTGAAGAGGCGATTTCCGTCATCAGCTTCGGCCACTCGTTCAAGAAGGCCAACCCGAACACCGTCGGACAGTACGGAAACGGATTGAAAAGGTGAATTTTAACGGAAAAAAAGCTTAAAAATATAATCTGAGAACCATTGACTTGAAAAAGAGACGTTTTAAACTACTTTCTGAGCTTTTATAAACTACTGATAATTTTTTTGAGCCGAGAAGCTAGGGTTAATGTTCGTTTTTTTAGTGGTTCGATGCGCGTGGGCAAGGATTTGATAGTGTTCACCAAGAAGAACCAGATGCGCACGTGCCTCTTCTTGTCGAGAACTTTTCACGAGGAAAACCGGCTGAAAGAAGTTGGTTTTGGTTTAAATTTATTTTATCTTCCAAAATAACCGAAAACAAATTACAAAATTCTATTTTTTTAGGTCTTCGTCCCGACCCCATCGTTCAGCGAGGGCGACAACGCGTATCTGGAGAACCCGGAGGAGGACAAGGAGCGCCACGGCATTGAGATGGATGTAAATTACCTTTATTTTTGCGGTAACTACGTTTTCAGATCATCTTCAAGTACTCTCCGTTCAAGGACGCCGCCTCGTTGTTTGGCCAATTCGAGAAGATTTCGGTATTCAGTTATTTTGTTACTGAAATTCATTTTTCAGGGTTCGTCCGGCACATTGATAGTGCTCTACAATCTTCGGCAGCTCGACATGATAGTGCCCGAGCTCGATTTCACGTCGGAGAAATACGACATTCGCCTCTCGCAGAATTCGGATCAAAGGTATAGAACTCGGCTTATTCTTGACCCCGCTGATTTTTTAGCTTTTGAAAAAAATTGAATTTAATTTCACGTCTACAGCCTCTCTAAAATACGATAAAATGGAAAGATTTTATCTACTTTTATATGCCGTTTATTTTAGAGAAGCCGAGCGCAACTCCCTACGATCCTACCTTTCCGTCCTCTACGCCAAGCCGCGAATGAAAGTAAGATTCGCTAGATTTAGCCATCCAAATTCTAATTTTAGGTCTATCTCCGAGGAATGAAAGTGGCGCAGACAAATCTCGTCTATTCCCTCTCCCATCGCCGCAAATACCTCTTCGCCGCCAAGAACCTGAAGAATTGTGCGAAGCGCGCCCACGAGCAGGCCCAAGCGATGGTCAGATCATGTGAGAAAATATTCAAGTTTTGGAAACGAATCCCATTTTTAGTGGAAGACCAGATCAAGGAGGCCCAGTCCGACCTCAGCCGCTTCATGCAGTCCAGTATTAGGTTTGTTTTTGGAAAAAGGGGTATTAAATGTCGAAATTCTTCCACCGTTTTTTTCGCTTTTTTTGCGTCCTAAAAAGGGAAAAAATTTAAAATTTTTTTTAAAAAAAAAAAAAATAAAAAAATCTTCAAAAAAAAAACCCCTTTTTGAAAAAATTTAATTTTTTAGCATTTTCAAATTTTAAAGCAGTTTTCGACGTTAAATATCGAAAATTTTTCTAAAAAAGCTATAAACACTTGCTATTACTTTAGTAGCATTTCTGATTTTACGGAAAAACCTGTTTAATGTCGCTTTTTAGCACGATGAACCGGGACACCAAGCTGCGCGTGAATCTGCTGGACCTGAAGGTGGCCGAGCTGTCGTCGGAGTTGAAGCAGGCGAAGGAGCGTGAGCAGACGGCGCAGAAGGCCAAGGCCAACCCCGTGCCCATCACGTTCTATTTTGGGCTGAACTTGCACTGCAGGAATCGGTAGGAGATTTTTTAAAGGTCTAAATTTCATTTTGTCTTAGGTACGGTATTATGGTCTACAACAATGGCCGGCTGATCGAGATGTATGCCAAGCCGACGATTCTCCGCGAGCGTCACGATCAGAACATGTAAATTTTTTGGGCTTTATATGGTTTTCGAAAGGTTTTTTTTCGGCTTCAGGAAGGGCTAAAAATTCTCTTCTCGAAATTTAATTTCCTTTGTCAATTCTTCTGGTTTTTTATAACATTTTTCCTTTTTTTTAAACTATAGCGTGGATTCAAAAGCTGGTTTTTCACCGCTAAAAACAATTGAAAAATCTATAAATGTAATTTTTAGGAAATGCCTCGGCGTGATTGGCATCGTGGATGTCCCATGCACCGTCCTCGCCCCGACCCACAACAAGCAGGGCTTCGAAAATCGCACGGAATACCTGTGCCTGATGCGCGCCGCCAACGAGCACATGGAGCAGTACTGGATGGATCTGAAGCTGGCTGAAGAGAAGGGCGGCATCATTCAATTCTGGTAAAATATGAATCTTTACCTCTAATAAATTTATTCCAGGAAAGCCCTCGGCTACAACTCTACGGCCTGGGAATCGGTCTGCGACCCGGACACGCGCTACAAGCTTGAACGCCAGAAGCTGATCGGTTGCTACACCGTGCAGTGTGGTGCGTTTTTATTTTATTTTTAATTTTTTGTGAAAAAAAACGCTTCTATGCAGTTTTTGCTAAGCGTGAAAGTGCAAATTACGACAAAATATCTATTTTACGGCCAAAATGACCAATTTTTTTAACATTTCTAGATTTTCTAAATACTTATATGGATTAAAATACAAATAAATTTTTTTCTCTGATCAAATCGCTCTTAAAAGTTTGAATCTAATTTTCTCTCTAGATAAATGTCTAAAATGGCGACACCTGGACGTGCAGCGGCGCTACATCGACCAGGGAATTCCGGAGGGATGGACCTGTCAAGATAATCCAAATTCGGCTTGTCAGGTAAAATCTTGTAACAGTTTTCTAAACTGTTTTTAGTCTTGCGCCAAGGAAGAGCAGCTGCAGAGCATCAAGGAGGGCAAGATGTCGCACGGGAAGGAGCGCGAAAAGGATCGGGATGTCGAGGTCGTGTCAGCACCGGAAAGACTTCAAAAGGTATAAAAATTTTGGATTTAGCTTACAAATTTTGTCTTGATACAGAATTTTCGCATGATTTAGAGCTCACTCGCACTGGATTTTAGCATAAAAACTACTCCTTTTAATTGCCTATTTTTAGAAAGAAGTCGCAGCCCCGATCCAAAACAAGCAAACGGCCAAGATCACTCCTCTCCGAGCCCCGGTGGCCGCTGCCGTCTCGCAGCCACCAATCAGGGCCGCCTCAGCCCGAGCTGCAGCTGCCACTCAGAAGCGCGCTCTCGTGCAGAGTGAGGAGGACGAAGATGAGGAAGAGGTCAT